CAATAAATTCTCTTTTTTGCTCAAGCCAGTTTGAGATGGGTTTTTGTCATGTGCAGCTCAGAGAGTGCTGCCTATGTGGGACATCGAAAGTGCCGTCTGTCCCTTCCCATCCAGAGAGTGGGATTCCAGTTTCTATCCTGGATGCTTCCACCAGACAGTGATCCTTAAAAAGTCCCCAGAATTGAGCAGCAGAACTTAGAGGTCATTTGGTCCCATCCCCTCTTTGTTTATGTGGGGAGACCTGGGGGCCAAGGAGAGGCGAGGACTTGTCCTGAGTCATGCAGACAACAAGGCCAATGGGATATCAGCGCTTGGCTCTGTCAATAAATACACCCATACCAGCGGGGTGATAACAGCTAGCAGTGCAGCGCCAAAACGCTGAGTGTCCTTCTCAAGGACGCCCACGGGGACTGGGGCGCACTCCTTCAGCATGAAAAAGGCCCTGTGGGAACTTTCTCAGTGCTTCAGTTTCTCTAACTACAACTGAACAAACTCGCACGTAAATGTTGTTGTTTTCAATTATAAATGGAGCGTACGGACATAGGAAAAAGTTTTTTCAGGGGATAAACATGTGCAAAAAGGAGAAAATGAAACCCTCCAGTAATCTCACCAGCCTGCACTAACACTGACAGCATTTGGGGAGCACATTCTTTTGTGTTTGTTTGCTTGTTCTATGAAGATTTATATGAGGCAAGGTGGGGATTCGCTCTGGGGGACCCAAACTAGCCTCCTGAGGATGGGATTGGGGTGAGTCTTGAAAGTGAGAGAGAGAGAGAGAGATCTTCATTCTTGGGGGTTGTATCAGACAGGGTTCCTGGGGCAAGCACCAGAAACTAAAGAGAAGGGGATTGCTTTGGGAAGGCTGGTGGAGGCTCCCACAATTGATGAAAGACTGGGAGAGCAGGCTTGGGGCAGTGGGAATTAAGAGGACTCTCAGGACCAAGAAAGAGGAAGTAGAAAAAGCAGTCCTTACCTTTACCAGACAGAGGTGAGGAGGCTACGGATGGTTTCACAACTGATATTGCCACGAGAAGAATGGCCAGAAACCACTCCCTTGTCCTTGCCAGAGTCAAGGTCCCAGGAAAGAGCATTTCAGATCATGTGCTCCCCACTGATTCACCCGGGGAAGTAGAGAAGGGATCCGTGACTTCAACTGGAGCAGGCCAGCTGTGGGAGGAAGGAGCCGAGAATTGCCCCTGCCCAAGACAGCTGGGAGAGGTAATTTTCCTTAGTGAAACTGGGTGCTTTTAGGGGAGGAATGGATGCCGTGCAGTCCCAAACTGAGAGCTACCTACTAGTGAGCCCAACGAGAGCGAGTGCTTGGGGGCTGCTGCTTCTGGGGACAGTTTGCAGCTGAGCCTGGAAACTGGTCCCAACCCAGCTACCCTAGCACATTGTTGGTATACCTGGGGAATAAAGCAATAAAGAGCTGTACCACTGGGTGTCCATGCCCACGTGTCATGGAGTGTGTGCGAGAAATATCTTTTCTCTTTCCCAAATCCCTCTGAGAAACACCTGCAAGACCAGCCAAATAGAATATGTGGTGGCATGGTGGTTATGTTTGTGTGCTCTGCTTCGGGGACCTGGGGTTTGTGGGTTCAGATCCCGGGCACAGACATACACCACTCCTCGAGCCACGCTGTGGCAGCAACTCACATACAAAATGGAGGAAGATGGCACAGATGTTAGCTCAGGGCCAAACTTCCTTACCAAAAAAAAAACAGTAGAATGTGCCTCCATCAATAAAGTGGTTTCTTTAGCAGGTAGGAACTGCCCCTGGGGCTGGGACTACAGTATTGTTGACACTCTGTTTCCAAGCTCCTGCAGATGTGGAAGGAGAGCATTATGCCTCTAGGCAACCAAGCTGCTCTCTTTGAACAGTGCCCTCATGTGGCAGTTCCAGCAACTGCAGGATACCTAATGGTCAGGATTCCAGGTTTTTCTCTGTCGGGAGACAGAAACTAGAACTGCCTGTTTGGACTAAGCAACTGCTCTGAAAGTTATCCTGGGAGCGAAGACCCCAAGCTGGGAAAAGAATCATTCACAGAAGAAGTGGAATAGAAACTCGAGTCGTTCAATTTTAGTAATAAAAATATGTGACACAGCATCCTTCTACATGCAAACTGATTCACCAAGATCCTTTGGGTACCAATCTCCTACTGGCTACAACCCACCCAGCCGTCCTTGGATCCCTCTCACAGTTTTCCATCACATACGACCGTAAGGATAGCACACACCTGCTTGTCCACTGCCTTGCTCAAGTTCAGACACACAATGTCACTGTCACATCCTTGTCAAAGAGAGAATTTAGGGGCTCACTTATTGAAGGGAAAGAACGAACTAACCCCCGACCTTCAGGGTCCCTTTTGTTCCTGGGCGTGGTTTGCAGGACAGTCACATTACACTGGGAGTCAGGAGTCTTGCTCTTTCATTCCAGCTTGACCCTTAACTTTCTGTGTGATCTGGAGCAAGTTGCCGCAGCTCTCTGAGCCCCACATCCCTCCTCAGGGAAATAACCCCTGCGCTGCCCACCTCAGGGCTGCTTGCTGGTTTGAGTAAAGTTAAGGTTGTCGAAACCTAGAAAAGACCAAATAAATATTTATTAACAATAAGTAATGTGGGGAGATTTTCTGCCGCCGTATTGGTTTTTCTGTGTCTGCAGAGTTGAGGAAGCAGGGTTCTGGTTCAGAAAAATAGCCGTTAAGGGATCTTTCTGTGTGGGTGTGCGTGCGCTTGTGGGTGTGCGTGCGTGTGTGCGTGTGTCTGCACCTCTCTCTGACTCCATGTTTCCCTCTGTGTCCCTCTGTCCCTCTGTCTCTTCTCTTGCCGCTTTGCTCTCTATCTCTCTGTCTGCCCCACCGCACCCCCACCCTTCCTCTGCCCTTCCCAGTCTTAGCCAGGCCAGAGCTGAAGTGTTCTCTCAGACAGCAGCTCAGGGCTCCTTTAGACCAGGTCTGCGCTCCCCTAATGGTTGTGGTTGGCGAGATCAGACCAAGTCAAGACAGGCTCTGGGTTTTTTCTGGGGCTCTGGCTCCAGACTTGGAAGGCAGAACATTTCAGTCTCTTGCAAGTCCCAGGAGAGGTGGGACCTCAGGGGCAGAGGAGAGGGGAGAGGCCACAGGCTGCTGCACTCAGCTCCCAGGAGTGGTGGGGGGTGTCTTCCAGCACTTCACGACTGATGGCTTCAGGCCAAGTTAGGCAGCACTGAAGCCCCCAGCTCAACTCTGCTTCCTGACCACCCATGGCCTCTGCCAGCTGTCCTGCCACTGCCACCTCTGGGGCCAAGATAAACCGGGACACGAATCCTGACTGTCCCACCTGCTCACTGTGTAACCTTGGGCAAGTCAGTAACTTCTTCCAGCTTCGATTTCTTTGTCTGGAAAATGGAGATGATAAGAGGTGAGTTGTAAGGATCAGGTTGAAAGACAGCGGAGCACAGAGCAAGAGTCAGCACACTCCAGCCTCCAGGCCAAAGCTGGCTTGCTACCTGTTTTTGTGCGACCTGCGAGCTAAGAATGGATTTTATATTTCTAAATGGCTGGGGAAAAAAATCAAAAGAAGAGCAATAGTTCATGACATTGAAGATGATATGAAATTCAAATTTCAGTGTCTCTAAATGAAGTTTTATTGGCACAGGGCCATGCACATTCATTTATGTATTGTTTACACCTGCTTTTGCACCACGGCAACAGAATAGAGTAGCTGGGACAGACTGTACGTGGCACTCAGTGTATCAAATCCTAGCTGGCCCTTTGCAGAAAAAGTTTGCCTACCCTCGGCACAGGTTTAAGAGCACAAACTACCTGCGTTCAAATCTCTCCTGTGTGACTTACTAATTTTGCGATTTTGCAAAGCTCACTGAATCCGTATGTGCCTCATTTTCTTTTTCTATAAAATGGGAATATCAGTTGTTATTGTGTATTGTTTCGAGGATTAAATGAGTCAATATCTGCAAAGCACTAGGACCAAAGTCTGCAGGCCAGATTATGTAAATGAACAAAGAGATCATGGAAGAATTAAGCAGATATCCTGTGTTTTGGATTGACTGGAAGTAAAATCAGAAGGAATGGTGGCTGCATGCCTGGGACTGTCCTGCGCAACATTTTTTTTTTTTTTTGTCAGACACTCGAATGAAGATCTCTGATGTGAGACGGTGGCATGCACCGAGGGTGTGCAGGTGGAGAGCAGGAGCTGGGGAAGGACAGAACCTGATTCCCAGTTTAGAAAGGGGGAGGCAGTTGTCTCAAGTTACGAGAGGGTTTAGAAGACTTGAGGTGACCAAGGAGACATGAGGTAGTAGCAGCATGTATAACTTCCATTTAAGTACAAAGCATAATGTGTTGCCACCAAAGTGAGTGCAATTTCAGGCTGCATTAATAGAAGTAGGTCTTGTAGAAAGAGGAAGGTGATGTCCTTCCCTCTACTCTGGTCAGCCTGTGTCCTATTCCGGGCAATTTAAGAGGGATGTGGACACATTTAGTGGTATCCCCAGGTCTTCTCCTCAGTTGCACTGGGTCTCTCCCTACCCTCGTTATCTCTGACTGTCAGGAGCCGTTGATAAATGCCAGTAGCTCTTGTCTTCCAAACATTCTCAATTATGCCGAACTCGCAGAACTCACCCAACTCTCTCCTGTGAAAGCGTGCCTGGAGGACAAGTCCTGGAGGACCTGCTGTAGGTCAAGAATTCACTTTATCAGTAGCTACAAAAACATTAACCTGATCCCAGGGGGCAAACGTTAGCCTGTTTGGCAACTCCTAGGATCACCTGGCCTCAGGAGATCCTGTGTTCAGGTGGTCTCAGAGACTGGGTGGCCCATCTCAAGTCTTCAAGGCCCCCTGCCGTGTATCTGCAGCCTAATTTCCCAACCTTTTCTCTCCTACTCCCCTTTATACATATATGACTCAGCCAAAGAAGAACATAGTTCAGCTTTTTCAAAAACTCATGCTATATTAGTTATTTTTTTTTTATTGCAAGGAGCAGAATGTCAACTCAGATCAGGTTGACCAAGAAAGGAAAATTTATTGGTTCATGTGACTGAGATGTACAGGGTTGTCTGGCATCAGGCCCAGGTGGATCCAGCAGCTTAGGGTCTCTGTGTCTTGGTCCCTTGGCTCTGTGCTAACTTCATTCTCAGACTAGCTTTCCCCTAGGAAGCTGGAAAATGGTTGTTGAAAGCTCCAGACTCAAATCTTGCAGCTCGACAACCCTACTAGAAACAGAATTTCTCTCCCCCAAGAGTTTGAGCCCAAGGTCCAGGAATTGACTCTTATAGAATAGACTGGGTTTGTTGTCCATCTCAAATCAAGTCTTGTGGCAAGAGGCATGGAACACAGAGATTGAACAGGCCCAAGTCACACACCCCAGGATGCAGGGGAAGAGACCCCATTAGAATTGGGGGTACCATGAGGGTCAGTGCTGCTTATACCACATGACTTGAGAGTGGGAAAGGGTGGGTGCCTAAGGGACAAGGGGCATTCTGTAATTAGATGCAGGGGAAATGGGTGATGGGCAGACAACAGCACATGTCAACCACCACACATGCTGTTATCAGTCCTCCCAGCAACCCGGTGAACTGGTGGCAGCCCAGCAGAGGACGAGGGAAGTAGAGCCAGGAAGGGCACCTCTGGATGTTGAAGGGCAAGTCCAGCATTTCTTCAGGACTTCTTCAGCCTTACTGGCTATGGGAGAGGACTGGAAGAAAGGACAAGGGAGTCATGGGGAGGATTTTGAACGTTGAAAGTTGACCTTCCTGCAAGGGTCATTTCTAATGAAAAGAGAGATGCCTCTGGAACCTGGGCCCAGAATCAGGGAGGGAAACCCAGGGAGCAGGGGAGTCACTACCCAAGACCCTTTGCCCCCTTCCTGCCTTCCTGAAGAGCCCTGTATTATTCAGGTGTCTGCTCCGCCCAGCCTCAGGGTGAAGCCTGATTGGTCCAAGCCCATCATGATGCTCCCACTCCTCTTGCCAATCACTGGACTAGGTATAAACATGTGATGCGATTCTGACCAATAATATGCAGGGGGCTTTTCAGAACCGTTTTCTTCACTGATAAAAAGAAACACACAAAAAGAAACAGACCATCCTCCTTTGCAGGACATAGTCATGTCTGGAAGGGCAGTAGCCATCTTGTAACCAAGAAGAGAGCCAGCCTGAGGGCCAGCTGACACTCGAGGAGGACAGAGCAGAAAAATGGAAAGAACCTGAGCCCTTGATTATGACACTGACCCACTTAATTAAACAACCCTGGAGCCATCCTACTTTGGGACTTCTTAGAATGTAGTGTAATAAGTTTCCCTTATTGTTTAGGCCAATTGTATTTCAGTTTTCTCTTATTGTAGCCATAGGACACTAAGTGACTCAAACAGGCTTTGCTCATTGAGAGTCTCTGAAGAGAGAGGACATTGTCAACACCAGGTGTTGAGGCTCTAGGCAAGCCCCATGGCCATTTTGGGAAGATTATAACGACGGAAAGAGGATGAGCTTCAGAGACTCATAATCCTTGATCCATCGCTTACTAGCTCTATGCCCTTCAACACATTAATTCACCTCTCTAGACCTCAGCGTCTTCCTCTGTAAAATGGGAACAATCACTGTACGTCATCGAGTTCTTGTGAGGACTGAGGTCACGCACAGAGTTCTGACATACAATTATAACGGTCATTTACCGAAGGATCACTTTTATTTGTACATCACTGGACCAGGATCTCAATGATGTCCAAACAGTCACTTATAAAGTGGTGATACTTTATCAGAATTTCCTCAGAAGCTTTTTGAAAAATCCAGAATCCTGGACTTTATCCATGGAGATCGTGATTCAATAGATCTGAAATAGGGGTCTATATATTAGTCAGAATTCCCTCTCTCAGTTACAGGTAGCAGAAACTCAGCTCAAACTGGCTGAAGCGAAAAAAAAAAAAAAAAGAGGAAGAAATTTATTGGCTCATGTATCTGAATAGCCCAGGGGGATAAAGTTCAGACATGGCTGGATCCAGGTGCTCATAACATGTCACAAGGTGTGTCTGTCTACCTGTCTCTTCTCTTTCTCATCCCTGGTCATGGTTTGCCTCTTTGTTGGCTTCATTCTGAGCCAGCAGTTCCAAGCTGACAGCTACCAGCCTAGGGCCTCTGAGAAGAGAGAGCATCTCTTCCTCTACAGCTCTGCCCAAATCCTGAGGCTGCGGCTCTAGCCTCACTTTGACCCTGGCCTGGTCACTCTGTCTGTTACTGGCCAGGCCTGGGGAACATGCTTGCCCCTGGAGACCGAGTGAGCGGGGTCTCCACCCAAACCACTCAGGTTGTACTTGGGGCAGGGATGGCTCTCCGAAGTGACATAAGTGCTATGCTCAGCGAAGAGGAAATGGGCGTTGAGCAGGCAAACATACTCCAGAACACAGAATCCATATTTCTTACCAAGTCACCCAGTTGATCCCGATGCACAGGCAGCTTTGGGAATGACTGCTGGATAGATCATTGGTTTTAGGACTTCTTAGAGTCATGGAATCCTTTTCTTCCTGGGAAATCTTAAACAGGATCAAATTTAAAAAATAGATCAAAAAATGGCCCTGTCCTGGTGGAAGGAGGGGTTTCAGGCCCTCCCATATCCCCCCAAGCAGCCCCTAAGGCCCCCAGCGGCTCCCCTGAGCACCCAGATTTCATTGCTTTCTGAGGTTCCTTTTGCTCTGATGCTCCAACCTTGCATTTGGTGCAACAGGCAGGGCGGGGTGGGGGGAGTCTCAAAGAGCTCACCTAACGCTGTCTCTCCCTCCAGCTCCCGCCCCTGCCTTAGAAGCCAGTGCCAGAGGAGTAAACAGGGACAGGAGCAGCCAGCGGCTGGCTTAGGAGGTGCGTCAGACATGCCACATCAGATGCTTCTGGCTTTGTAGGCCCATCCTGGCCCGAGGCCAAACGGCTTCATGGGCTCTGCAGAGCGCCAGCCGGGGCTGCGTGGGCGTTGATGATCTGCCTGTCTACCAGCGACAGAGGGGACGGCCGCAGTGCTGCATCAGTTGTGGCAGAGGGAGATGCTACAGGGACACTCTGGCTGGGAGACATGGTGGAGGATAAAGTCAATTTCACACTTTATTAGTCAGTCCGGGCCAATTGAGGCCACCCCGAAGCTGGGCTGAGGCCCCAGCTCTCCCTCCAGTCTTCGCCAGCAAGAAGGGCCTCTATCACCTGAAACTCTTCTCTTTAAAGGAGCAGTATTTCTTTTTCTACTCGAAACCCCACAGCATTCAAACAAGGAGCTGGGATCCCTTTTACTCTGCAAGAGACTGCTGCAGCTGAGAGGTGGACAAATCAGAGGGGGGAGGCGTTGAGCCATGGCATTTGTGTACTCATTTAATCATCCATCATCCCTTCAACAGACAACGTAATGCGAGCCTACTGTGTGCCAGCAAACGGAGCCTGGTGCTTAGTTTAATAAATCATACTGTCCTCAGGGAACCCTCATTCCTCCACCAGCCTTTCACTGAGCACCTACCAGGTACCAGACACTGTGCCAGGCCCTGGGGATGCAGTGTGAACAGGCAGCCACAGGCCCTGCCCTCGTGGAGCTGACTCAGTGGGAGAGTAAAAAGGTGATTTCAACAGAGAGGGAGAAGGATCTGAGCAGAGGTACATCCAAGAAGAGCACCTGAACCAAGCAAGGAAGGCTTCTGTGAGGAAGTGACATGTCACTGACACTTAATGGATGACTTAGCAGGGATGAAGGAGGAGTGGGGAAGGTGGTACCACCCAGATGAAAGAGCAAGTGCAGAGGAGGCCAGAGAGAGCCATGTGGAAGGTTTATCAGTCAGCGTGCAGAGTCCAGGAGGCAGAGGGATGAACAGGGGCCAGACCATGAAGCCATGGTCAAGAGCCCTGGGTTCAGATCTGTGTTTCTGAAAGCTGACCTGGTAGGGGCTTTGTGAAGAACCTAGGGAAGGCGAGAGGACCCGGAGACAGCAGATGCAGTCGGAGGCTGTTGCAAGATGACAGGTGAGTGCTCACGGAGCCCCAACGGGTGTGTTCACTGTTAGTGGGGATGGTGAAGAGTGGGTGTCTTTGGGAGATCTGAAGGATGTCATGCTCTGTGGGGTTCTCTGTGGGTCAGAGTTTGGGGACAGGGGACAGACACTGGACTGGGAGTCTGATGAAGCTGGGTTCAGAACTTACTCTATTCCTGACACCAGTGTGGCCCTCGGGAAGTCCTGAACCTCTCTGTGCCTCCTTCATAAAGTGGGAGTCTGCCCCTCTTGTGAGATAACAGTGCACGGAGAGGCGTGCTCACGGGCCATCTGCGAGGGGTGTGAAGGAGCTTGTGAAGCACTCAAAACTCAGTGCACAGGAAAACATCTCAGCGCAATGCGTCTGCTTCCCATTGTCATTAATGCACACACACACAGATCTGTGTCCTCTCTTCATGAACTGGGATCGAGATCCCAGCTCTGACCCCCTCTCTGCAGCCTTTCTGTCCCGTGACTTCTTGGAACCTCAGTTTTCTCATCTGTAAATGGGGGATAACAATACCATCGTGGCAGGGTTGCTGTGGGGGTTGACTGAGAAGCCATGTGCAAGGTGCTCAGCACAATGCCTGGTCCACAGTAGGTGTTGATAAATGGTCATTGGGATTCTCATTAATATTCTCCAGTCTTATCATCACCCACCCAGGTACCATGGGCACTTCTTTTGTGCCAAATCTGATGCCTTGCTGGGCATCAGAGATGAGCAGAATATAATAAAAATATCTGTAAATATTTCTTAAATGCTTACCCGATCTAACTGCTTTTTGCGTGCGTGTGTGCATACACATTAATTAATTAAGTCCCCATATCAACCCTATGATGTAGCTACTATTATTATCAACTCCATTTTACAGAAGAGGAAGCTGAGGCTCAAAGAAGGTGAAGAACTTCCCCAAAGTCACACCATAGGTAAGAAGTTGGATTCGATCCTGCTTGGTCTGACTCCCAAGCCCACATACGATGCCATCCAGCCTCTCAAGGGTCTGGGGTCAGCAGTCCAGCGTTGAGCCGGTCTTTCTGCTGAATCTGCTCTACTGGAGTGCCACTCAGGACCTCCTTGGTTATGAATGACAGTGACTCCACATAGTGGTCCAGCACTCTGGCATCTGACAGCCTGGGTTCAAACCCCAGCTCTGCTGCTTCCAGGCTGTGTGACCTCGAGCACATTGTTGAACTTCTCTGTTCCTCAGTTCTTCCTAACACCTTCATAGAACCATTATGATGTAACAACATAAATGAGATCGTGCATCCAAAGTGCTTGGCCCAGTGCCTGGCGCACACAAGTGCTCAAGAAAGGGTGGCTATTATGTTGAAGTGAAGGGGGAATTTATTGGTGCCTGTAAACAAACGAAGTACAGAAGGAATGCATGGAGCTGACCTTGGATCACTGAACCGCAGGCCTTGAATGCTCTCGAGCGTGTCTGTTGGTCTACCTGTGGCTCTTTCTCTTTGTCTTTTCTGTCTCTAGCAGACTCCCCCTCCCTCCCTGTCTCTCTCTCATTCACTCATTTTCTACTGCTGTCTTGTCCTTTCTCTGTCGCTCTTCCTTGTGTCTGTCTGCCTGTCTCTCTCTTTCCACTGTCTCATTTTCTCTCTTCTCACCTTCTTTGCACATGCCGCCTTCATTCTCTCGGGTCCACGTTCCCAAGATGTGGAACCATGGGCCTCGAGTAGCCTTGCCAGCTAAAATACAGGGCACCTAGTTAAACCTGAATTTGAGATAAGCCATGAACAATTTTTCAGCACAAGCGTGTCTCATTTGGGAATACTGAAGATTATTTCAATTTGGCATTGAATAAGATGGATAAAATCCTTACCTTTGAGAAGCTTTCTTTCCGATGGGGGAATCAGACAACCAGCAAACCAGAAAATGAGAGGGAGGGATCTGGTCGGTAACGGCAGGAAGATAGGAAGGGTGATGCATAGCGAGTGACGGGCTCAGGCTGGGGAGCAGTGGAGGCTACCCACATGGAGTGGCCAGGGAAGGCATCATGGAGGAGCTGACCCACGTGGCAGGGAGCCGGCCATGGGCAGATCTGGAGGGAGAGCATCCCAGGGAAGGGAGGGCCAGTGCAGAGTCCCTGGGCCAGCAACGAGCTTGGAGTGACTGAGGAATAGAAAGAGCACGCGCAAGTGTGCCCGTAGTACAGCGGTCAAGGGGAACAGTAGTGGGAGGGAGGCGGGGGCCCACCAAGTGGGGCCTTTCAGGTCTGAGTAAGGACTTTGAGTTTTGTTCACTTTTAGGCAGAGGCATGACATTCTCTAATTTACTTTTTCGAAAAGTCATTCTGACTGCGCCATGGAGAGTGAGCTGAGGGTGAAGGACAAGGGTGGGAACGGAGTGACCATCAGGAGGCCCCTGCAGGGGTCCAGGTGAGCGAGGATGCTGCTTCACCTGGAGTGGAGGCGGTGGAGGCAGGAAAAAGTGGGCAGATTCCAGGAAGGTTTGGGAGGTAAAGCTGACAGCCTCGCTGAGAGGTCGAATGTGAAGAGCTTAGAGGAACAGAGGAATCAGTGAATCCCAGGCTTTTGGCTTCAACAACCGAGTGGATGATGGTGCCATTTACTGGGAGAGACTGCAGAGGGGCGGCCTTGGGGTTGCGGTTGCAGGCTAGATATTTATTGTCTCTGTACCTTCCAGGAAGCAAAGGAGTGTGACAGACTCTTGGGGGAGGAAGTGACATAATTCAAATTCCATATTCATTTTATTAAAAATAATGTGTTACATGCCTATTGAAATACATTAATAAAAACAAAAAACCCATCATCATTGCAACACAAACTACAGAAAGTATATCCGGACCAAGCGTTTTTGGCTGGTGGCTGTGATTCTCCACGTGGGGGTGCGGGACACATGATTCCTAAGAGGAGCTCCAGATCTTGGAATCTCTGGCCTGGGAGGTGGCCAGGGGGTGGTGCAAAGGGGAAAGAGATGAATGTTGAGATTTTTCCAATTGTGTGTGTATGCATGTGTCATTGTGTTTGTATTTTTATTTTATGCTTGCTCCTCCACCCCATAGCTTTTTTAGGGGGAGGGAGGGGAATGAAAAAGAATTTGAGATATTTAGAAATTTGAAAACAAAAGTAGGGAAAAGGTGTTCTTACAAACACCAGCCACATCAGCAAGCTATCTACAACCACTCTGGGCCCGATGGGCAAGCACCTTGAGAGAGTAAAGTAATTCAAGATGGCAGCCTCTAATCACCAGAGAGTATCTGAGGACGTGGTCACAGTTATGTTCCCAGGGGAATAACTTTGGCCTCTTAAGACATCCACTTGCTTTCAGTTTTGAAAGATCGCACGTAATGAGGGGGTGTTTTTTACAGTCTGAGGTGGTAAAGGGTCAGGAACACAGACGTTAGAGGAAAGGCTGAAAGCACGGGGAGTGTTGGCCCAGAGAAGAGAAAACTCGGGCGCGGGGTCACCGTCTGCAAAGTTTGGAAGGAATACCTCAGAGCAGGAAGGAGGGTGCAGAATCGGCTGTGTGACCGAGGACAAATCATTTATTAAGCACTCATACGTGCCAGATACAGTGACAATTGCTTCCATGCCTTGTCCCATTTCGACATCCCAAGAACTCTTTGAGGGAGGACTATTTCCTGGTTTACCCACAAAGAGGAAAGTGAGGTTTTCAAGGGATGAAGCAACTTTTGCAACAAGGTCACACAGCTGGGAAGAGTGGAGTCAGGATTTGAATCTGGACGTTTTGCAATGTGAGGTCTGGGCTCCTGACCACCACCGCCCCTCCGCCCCTGACCCTCTCCCAGGGGCTCCCCACCTTGCTTCCTAGGTCCAATCCTGTCTCAGATGGGAGGGTTTCAAGTGGCTCTAGGTAGCCCCCTGGGCTCAATATGAAGTCCCTGGTGTTGAAAGCTGGACCCTAACCTTGTGCCCAGCTCTCAACCCTGCCTCCTGCCAGGATCATAGTGTCTTTAGTGGATCTGATCCCTGAGTCCCCAAGGCCTGGTACTTAAACCTCAACCCAAAGACTGGGACCCTACTGCCCACTCTCTGACCTGGCCTTGATCTCTGTCCTCCCTGGACCCTAGGAGATACCTGTCCTCAAATGCCTCATTGGGGCGCCAACCGCCTGCTGGACACCTGTGGCCTCCCCCTACAACCCTGAGGAGTGCACCTTGGGATCACCGTGCCCTCCCAACCTCACAGCTGCTTCACCTGACTTGACCCTCTTCCTAGCCCCGGCAGCCGGATCTGTGTTCCAGCCGCCGTTCTTCCCCAGGGGAGAGGCCATCCTAACTGTGACATCAGCATGTCCTGTGAAATGCCTACAGGATGGAGTCGACAGTGACTGGCTACTGTTGAGACTCGTGTTTGGTTTTTAGCTTGCAGCTGTTTTTTTCTTTGAAGATTAACCCTGAACTAACGTCTGTTGCCAATCTTCCTGTTTTTTTTTTTTCCCTCTCCAAAGCCCCAGTACATAGTTATATATCCTAGTTGTAAGTCCTTCTAGTTCTTCTATGTGGGATGCTGCCACAGCATGGCTTGATGACCAGCGCGTAAGTCCGTGAACCCAGGATCCAAACTGGCGAACCCTGGGCCACCGAAGCAGAGCATGGGAACTTAATCACTACGCCACCGGGCCAGCCGCAGCTTGCAGCTCTTGAGAGCTTCCCATGTGCCAGGCACTGGGTTAATCATGGAAAGTGGATTCCCTCATGCAGCTTCAGACAGCTCTGTGAGTAGTGGATAGAAGCTGCGATGATTGCTATGAACGCACTGGTTTTTCCCCAGGCCAGAGGCTCTGCTGATGTGCCCGGGAGCCCTGAAACCCCAGAATCAAGACAAGCAGCCTCTTCCCTGGCTGGAAGCCCCACCCCCACTTCCTGTGTTCCTGACCTGGGGCTCACTGCCCTGCTGAGCCAGGGTCCATGCGAGGCAGTGTGGCTGGAAGGAGGTGACCCTCTCCTCCTGCCCACAGCCTGGCTCTGCTCTCACACAGCGGCCCTTGGGTCTCCTCTGTGTCTGTCTGCTCTGGGCTCTGCAGGAACAGCCTCAGCTGGCCAAGACTAGGGGCGGCTCAGCAGATTCTCACAGCTACTGACCCTGGAGCATGACCCACTCAGCTGCTGTGTGCAGCTGAAGACACTTCCAAGAGCTCCGGGTGGGGAGGGCTGGACAGTCCCCTGACACAGGGAAGGTGCAGTGGACCTGGTGACAGTCCCAGTCTTCCCCGAGGGCGGTGCAATCTGAGGGGCAGAGGTACCTGGGAGCCCCATAGTTCCATGACTCTGTACCCCTGGCTGCTGAACAGCTTATCAGTCACTGTCCAGTAAGAAACAGAACCTCTCTATGCATTTTGAACAGAAGGAATTTGATTTGGAAGGAGGTTACACAGGTGAAAGAAGATCCGAGAAGCACCCCAGAGATTAACAACATCCAAAAGACACTCCAGGGGCTGGCCCCGCGGCCAAGTGGTTAAGTTCGCTTGCTCCGCTTCGGTGGCCCAGGGTTTCACTGGTTTAGATCCTGGGCACGGACATGACACTGCTCATCAGGCCATGCTGAGGTGGCGTCCCACATGCCACAACTGGAAGGACCCACAGCTAGAATATACAACTATGTACTGGAGGGGCTTGGGGAGAAGTAAAAAAAGGAAGATTGGCAAAAGATGCTAGCTCAGGTGCCAATCTTAAAAAAAAATAAAAATAAAAAAACACGACACTCCACTCCTTAGGCTGGATGGACAGGCAGAAGTAGTGTTATTGATATCCAGGACCTGAAGCTTCCTGACAGAAACTGGAAGCATAGCCAGGCCTGTCCAATGGGACCTGACACCACGAGGGAGGGGCCATCCAGTGGGAGCGGGAACCATAGAGAAGACCAGCACAAGCAGAGATGCTGCCTGAAGCAGAGAAAGGGAGAAATACCCTGGGTTCTCCTATCCTCCCTCCTGCCAGTGCTTCCCGTTGGCCAAACCCACCAGGAAACTAGAGGGCCAAGGAGCCTGGGAAGCAGTTCCCTGCAGTGTAGAGCAGAGCAGGGCAGGGGATGAAGACGAGAGCAAGCAAGCAAATAACCAGCCTCTGGTGAGGTGAGCTGCTCAGAAGGGGTGGCTGCAACTCCTATGCCCACTCTGGCCGAACCTTCCAGGAGCTGAAAGCTGTCCCAAACCTGCAGCCACTGTTTAGAGCTCTAAATTCACAGACTGTAAGGATGTCCAGACCCCTGATGACAGGCAGAGGGGCCCAAGACGAGGAACCCAGAACTACCCTGAGATGTCCTGGAAACATGGAGGCTGCCTGAGATCTCAGCGGTAACTGAACAGCAGCAGCTGATCCTCCTGAGCCCAGTTAGGCCAGAGCCCATGAGGATAGATCTGGTCCCCTCTTCTCTTTGTTCCCTAATCTGCTACTGGAGCCTCCAGCAAGGAACCCTGGTCCCCAAAGCTGCTGGGTCCCCTAGGAACACCCCAAGAAGATGCTCCTGGTTGCAAAGGGCCCTGAGCCCAGGACCAGAGTTGTTGCTCCGGCAGTATCAGGGTGCCTGATTATTGCCTGCCCGACTTGTCCAGGTGCAGCGGACAGCAGAAAGCCCTATTGCTGAAGAGAGGCTGGAGAATCTGGGCCGCTCGCGTTCATGAGCACTGCCCTGGATGAGAAACCTGCCCAGCCTGACCCACTTGGCAGCACCAGGGATGGCAGAGGAGGGGAAGTCCCAAGAATGCTTTGGGGTGCATTCTGAGGAAGGGCTGTACCCAACCTCAGCCAGGCCCTCAGCAGCCTGGACCAGGGGGCTTCATCTACATGGGTGAGGGGCCAGGCCTTGTCACTATCCCATACAGGGAGAAAGACAGGCCTTGCAAAACTTCCTCCAAATTTCATGCTCTCTCTTCTGAAGTCCCCGTAATAATGATAACTGTGTTTATGGAGCACAAATGAGCCAGGTGCTGGGCTAAGTGAATTTATCTCAGTATCTCATTTAATCCTAAAAAGAACCTTGAGAGATAGAGACTATGGAGATCCTCAGGGGTGGGTCAGAAAGTATGGCCCACAATCGAATAAAAGTCTGAAGACAGCAATGACAGTAATAACAGCATAAAAGGAAAACAGTGCTCCCCGGAGATCTAAGGAAGGAAAATTAATGTTTGAGGAAGTAGTGAGAAAGTGGAGACACACGAAAGCATTTCACAGGAAATACAAACATGTGAAACTACCACCTTCCCTCAGTATCCCCAGGCGATTGATTCCAGGCTCGCACTGATACCAAAATCCCCGGAGCTCAAGTGCCTTATATAAAATGGAGTAGTATTTGCATACAACTTATCCACATCCTCCCATGCACATTAATCATCTCTAGATTATTTATAATACCTAATCCAATGTAAATGCTAAGTAAATAGTTGTTATACTGTGTTGTTTAGGGAATAATGACAAGAGAGAAAAGTCCATACATGTGCAGAACAGACACAACCACTGTAGGCCTTCCAGTCCACGACTGGTTGACTCTGTGGATGTTGAACCCACGGGTATGGAGGGCTGACTGAAATTCTTCAGTGGAGATTCTCCACCCACAACAGTCAACCCACACTCAGGCAGAAGACGCAAAGAGAAGGCTAGTCATGGCCCGCACAGTCTCCACCCAGATTTCACATTAAAAAACAAAAACAAACAAAAACCCTGGTTACTACCAAGAACAAAACAAAAAGACGACCCACCAACCGGGAGGAAATATCTGCAAATCATATCTGAAGCAACCCAAGTGCCCTTCTATGGATGAGTGGATAAAGAAGATGTGGTATATACATACAATGGAATACTACTCAGCCATAAAAAAGACAAAATCATCCCATTTATAACGACATGGATGAACCTTGAGGGTATTATGTTAAGCAAAATAGCCAGACTGAGAAAGATAAACACCCCATGATTTCACTCATACGTGGAAGATAAATAAACACATGGACAAAGAGAAGAGATTAGTGGTTACCAGAGGAGAAGGGGGCTGGGGGTGGGCATTTGTTACTGACTAACAAATAATAATGTTCAACTGAAATTTCACAATGTTATAAACTATTATGACCTCAGTAAAATAAAAAAACACCCTGGTTTCCAGCTTCTCTTAAAAAATCAGAATGTCTCGTACCACTGGACCCTCATTCTGATGTGGCAACATCGGTTGGAGCCACGAAGCTGCAAGCTCATTTAGACTGAGCGTGTATGCTCTGGTCCAACACAGTCCCCACCACTCCCTACTATCTTTCATCTGGGCCTTCCTCTCATTTGCACCACCTGCCTGGCACCACGGAGCATTTACTTCAGTTTGACTCCATGGCACCTCCCAAGCCTACCTCAGCTAATTGGTAGAGCCCTGCTGCCACCTGGTGGTCATAGCTCACATGTTCTGTCTACACAGCAGTGGTACTCCTGAAGTCATCCACAACTATTCACGCCACGCCGAAGTTTCATTTACTCCTCTCACTCACCCTGTGAGAAGAGGAATTGTACCCGTTTTGCAGAGCAGAAAACAGAAAAGGTAAGCTGAGAAAAATACTGATAAGAAAACAGATGAGCAAGGTTGAGAGAATGGATTGTTCAGGATCCCAGCCCCTCGGGATGCTGCCAGGAGTGCAGTCCCGCTTTTTTCTCATCCCGAGTCCAGAGTATTTTAGTCTCTGCCCTGCCACAACAGGCCCGAAAAGGACCCTTCCAGGCCGGAAGTCAGGTCCTGGTGGAGGGAGTCAGGGGCGCCTTGATAAGCCAGAACTCCACAATGAGTACGTTGCAGGCAGGGGCCTCACCAGCTTCTTCTCATGCAAAAACCATGATAGGTGCATTTGCTACTTGCCTATTGGCAAGTAGACCTTGAACTCAGGTGTTCTAAGTCCAAGAGCCGGGCACTTTTCACACCACCTGCCTCCCCAGGCCTGAGCAGCTTCCCTTTCCCTTTTCATTTCCCTAAACCTACTCATCCCACAAGGCCAGCACCTGCCCCACCTCCTCCAGGAAGGTTTCCTGACCACCTCAGCTACCCCAAAACTCCCCGTTCTCTGAGCACCTGTAAGCCTGGTCCATATGCTTCCTCTGGGGCGGACAGCATCCTGCCCTGTGGTACCAGGTGGCTGCCTGATGCTCATGTTGTTGCTACAGCTGACGGTGAGATTCCTTGGAGGCAGGCTGTGGTGTTCCCATCCCCTCTGGGATGTTTCCCTGAGCAATACGTACTGAATATCTGTTACTTGAGGCATGTGACGGATGCTTAGGGAGATTTCGGGATGAACCAGAGCTTGCATCCTAAAATACAACCCTGGCATGTCACTCCTCTGCTTCAAACCTTTCAGTGCCCCCTCCACTGCCCTCAGGATAAAACGCAAAGCTCCTTACCGTGCTGACCTCTTTAAGCATCTCACTGCCCCCACCACGGCTTCACGCACCTGTGTGCTAGCTCTACAGCATTTCAGTTCTCCGACGAGCCACGCTCGCTCTCAGCTCTGGGCCTTTGCATGTGCCCTCCACCCCACCTTCACCTAACCCTACTCATCGGGCCTCAGCTTGGATATCACTTCTTCCAGGAAGACTTCCTAAGTTGCCAAGTCTGAGTCAGGGACTGCCCCTCTCGGGCTCTGGTGGCACCTGTTATTGCCCTATCCTAACACTTCCACTGTCTGTAACTGACTGGTGACTTCTCTGTCTCCCTCACCAGACTGTGGGCTTTGGGAGGACAGGACCCCGTCTGCCAGATTTCTCGCTGTACCCCCAGCAGCTGAGACCAACTCTGGGAGACACCAAAGGTGTGCAGTAGACACTCATTAAGTGAACACCTGAATGAGTGAGGTGCCATATTTATGTACAGCAGGTGTCAGTGAACAAATGTCACACTGGGGCATCTGACTACCCAACGGTTAGAGTCACACCAATTCCAGACACACTTCCATCTTTGAAGTCCTTTATTCCCAGTAGTTCACATCAGTTATTCACCAAGCTAGAGCTTGTCATATTAATCAGAAATTCACTCATCTTTCCTTTGATACTGTATCTTGGCCTCACGTCCAAAACTGGGTTGGGGCCCCAAAGGTTGAAGAGCTCTCACTCCGTCGCAGGGAGCGAGGGGCACCCTTGGGAGTCAGTCTCCAACTCCTGAAGTCTTATTTGGTTCATAGGCAAATGCTTGAGCAAGTTTAATACGTGACAGTCCGACAGTGAAATACATAAGACACAGTGCAATGGTTCCAGGCATTCGAGGGGAAAAAAAGGCACATTACACAAAGTCCCCTGGAGAAAATTCAGGCCATTCTCCATCTTTTCAATATGCATTTTCTCACCCTTCAGTGACTTTTAATCTCATTCGCTGGTCTACGAGAAACCATAACTCATGTGCTACTGAACCCATTCTTATTTTCCCTTCATGAGACAGATTTGATTCCAAGTGTATTTCGGTTTTCTCCCTTACGCCTACAAGAACATCCAATTTTGCGCAGGTCCCTTTTAACGGCACTTAATAAATATACATTCTGGGACCTGACAGAACAGGCTGTCCTCGTTCAAACCACCTCTAAAGCTGCCTGTTCAAAACATCTGAGCTAGTACAAAGCTCAGACAGGGCATGTCCTAGCTTATAGTTGTGGCCATTTCTGACCCCACGTCTATCTCGTCCACCACTACGTGGCTAGGGCAGAGGTCTCCAACCCTTGCCAGACACTAGAATTCTGGAGAACTTTTTGAATTCCTGAGGCTCGGGCTACACCCCAGACCAATTACATCAAAATCTCTGGGGGGGGGGGGGGGGGGGCGGGGATCCTGGCGTCACTCATAGTTGAAAGCTGCCCAGATGACTACAGAGAGCAGCCATCTCGAGAAGCCCTGAGCTCGAGTTCCAGCACACAGGAGCTCTCACAAGCACTGTGGACCCACCAATGGATTTCCTACTTTATCATCTGCTCCTCTATGCTTCCTATTTGTATCAGAAAGCTGAGCAGGAAAGAGAAAGGAAAATGAGTCAAGAGCATCTGGTACAGTGAATTTGGCGCCAGGAAAGGGATGGTGGGGACTGAGTTTCTCTTGTATTATGCAGGCTTCAAGCTTTCAGAAGCCCAGAGGAGATGAGTTAAGGACTGACACAGACATGTCTCTATTTCTTAAAATTAGCCCTCCCAAAACCAGAGCTAACAGCTTTAGGCACTATATTATAATCACATAGAGATGTTCTTGGAAATAAGGCTAAACTGCCACCTGCTTTTACACACACTCTAACTTGGGCTGGTTCCAAAATTTGTAATTCATATTAAAGATCAGGCTGGATCACCTTTTCCCTCTTCCGTGAACCTGGCAGTTTATCATAGCCCAGAGTGACAACCGAGAAGGGATGATCCAACAGCAGCTGCACCCAAAACTGCCTCTCTGTCTTCCTTGAACAGGAAGTGGTTTTCAATTTCCAGGTTCTAGAAAGGGATGACCATAGGGTTTGACCTCACTGAGTGCAAGAGATTGGCTGCCTAGAACGCAAGAAGGATCCTGAGGTAGATCCTGGGTTTACGGGAAAGGATGCCATGTTGATTAACGACATCGGCCATGGGCCTGGGCATGGGGCATGGCGGCAGGAATGCTTCCAGTGCAGGCAGGGCTGGCTGATGCTGGGGCCATCCTGACGCCACTTCCAACACATCCTGCTTCCAATGGCAATTTACATTTATACCACACCCTGCGATGCAAGGAGCTTCCACATCCTTAGCCTCACGTCATTCTCACCGCAAAACTGTGAGTTAGGGCTTTATGGATCGGAAAACTGAGGTGGTGTCCTAGGTCTAAGGTCCCACAGCCAAGTGACTTCACGTCCACTGTTGCCTCCAGGCCTCGGCAGGCTCTTGAAACCACTGGAGGTTCCTCTGGCTCCCCAGCTTCCAGAAACAGGAAACCAAGCCATTACCTAACCTCCCCCACCCACCAGGACTGTAAGCACCTGAGGCACAGTTTCCCCTGTGATTTGCATGCGCCTTTGTCTCCAGTCCAGAGAACACAGCAGCAGTGTACAACTGCTGCCAGCAGCCTCGTGCGCCACACCTGACATACCCTCAAAATCCCCTCTTCCCTGGAACAGCCTCTGACTTTGCCTACACACATTCCAGAACCGTGACTTGGTGACGCCCACTCCCAGGCCCAACCAAGAGTCTTCTGGGAACCTCTGCACTGCCCGGACAAGCCCGCTGGAGAGGGCTCCCAGAGTTCACCGCCCAAGACAACTCAGCTCCCAGCAGGGAGAAATAAAAGGTGACTGGTCGGCTATGGCGTCTCCTGATACCACATGCGGGGAGGGAACCGGCAGGCCAGGCCGTTCTGGACTTCTCCAGCGCCCCTCCCTGCAACCACAGAGCACACAGGCAGCGTTCACCTGGGTGACCCACTCGCATGGGCAGGCCCAGATGGGGCAGAGGTAAGACTGGCCATCAGCTACAAGTCCTCATCAACTTGACCTGCCATCCAGGGTGTGAGACTCCAGGTTGGGGCAACCTCGTAAGCAGACATAACGAGTGGTCCTGGCTGGGGCCTTCCATGCCCACCCACGCCAGGCACTCTTCACGGCCCCCTCCTTTTCTGGGTGCCCTTCATCCCACTCTGGCCTGATCTCCCCTTCCACCCTCGCCTTCTCTTTGCTTTTCTTCTCTCCTGGGGTCACAGCCTCTAAGCCTCCCCCCTCTCTTGACAACATGGGCTCCAAGGAGGGCACCCTAAGAGGGCAGACTCCAGCCCCACGGAGCCGGGCTTGGGGCCCTGGCCAGGAAGCTGGAAGGCACATATCCCCGCTGTCCGTCCACTTCCACAAGGCTCCACTCCGGGTTCCCCTTCTTGTCCTGGGCCTCCAGCACAGTCACTGGCTGGCCTGCCTGCAGACTCACTTCATGGCTGCTTCTGGCCAGAAAGGGGTACACTGCCACCACCTGAAACACATGGGGAGCGACACAGAAATGGTCAGGGTGGCAAAACAGACAAACCCAACCCAGAGAGGCTGTTTATCCTGTTCCCTCCCACCTGACTCAGCGCCCATGGCTGGGCAGCCACCGCCTCCCAAGCACATCGTTTGTGCTAAAGACACGGCTACTTCTGCTCCTACCTTCCCCATGGCAGACTCTATTCCAGCACTTTGCCTGGTTTTGATTTTCACAATTCTATAATTCTCTTTGCCCCATTTTTCAGATAAGGAAATTGGGACTTGGAGAAGTAAAGAAATTTACTCAAAATCACACAGTAGTGAAGCTAGGCCTGTCTGGCCTCAGGACGTGTGCTCTCAGTCCACGCAGCCAACTCACTGAGCAGAGGACTCAGCACCCTCCCCCATGCTGCCCAGATCTAAGGGTGTCGTCAGCCCAGGCCAGTTTCCCAGCTTGGAGTAGAGACAGGAGGTTTGGTGACTTGGTTATGTTTTGGGGAGAGGCATCAAACTGGAGTAAAAACTGGAGGGGAGGGCATTTATTAGGCTAATATTTCACCTCTCTGGGCCTCTGTTTTATCATCCGCAAAATGGAATTAGGGACAGCCTCCCCTCCAGGTAACTGTGGGAATTGAATGAATGAATGCCTGTGTCTGGTACATAGTAAGGGCTCAATAAACGCAGGCTGCTTTGACTATTTTTACCATTACTGTTATTACTGTGGACCAAGCCTCAGGACCAATCAGGAGCAAGGGAAGATGTGACCCCATGTGAGTCCAACTGAGCAGCCCCACAAACAAAAAGGAAACTGCTGATGTGTCTGCGTACATGGACAGCTGAGCTCACCCACGTGAGCCCCTGGGTGGGGGTTCCCAGAGACACTGCTCACCCTGGGTGGGGCTGGGCCTGAGTGGGATCCTTGAGGGTCCTTTGCTGATAGGTGGGACTGTCCAGCAGGAGGCAGCCCGGGTGCAATACTTCTGGCTAATGCTCCAGGATCTTGGCCTGAGTGCCTTCCTGGGAGAGTGCCACAAGCTAAACAGCACAGCTTCTGCAGGCTTCTATGCAGCCCACTCCAGCCTCCTCCAGCCGCCCTGGCCAGAGGCACCCCATAGCTATTCACTGCAAACACGTCCTCATTGCCTCTGGGCTCCCGACCCTCAGCCTGGGTTCTCTCTGTTGCTTAACTGTCACCTGCAAAGCTCTCCTTTATGCTGACGGTAACTGTGAGCGTAGCCTCCATTTATGGAGGCTCACACAGGCCCGGCGGGGCTTCACAATTTCATCCAATCCTCACAGTGACCCCACTGAGCTTCTTCCCCCTTGGGGACTCTGTGCCTGAAGAGCCAAATCCTTAAATAGCTTCCTATCAATTCTTTTTGTTTTGAGATATAATTCACATACCATAATATTCACCCTTTACGGGGTAAAATTCAGTAGTTTTTAATATGTTCACAAGGTTGTGTAACTATCACCACTTCTAATTTTAGAACATCTTTATCACCCGCAAAAAGAAACCCCATACCAGCTAGCAGTCACTTCCCATGTCCTCTCCCCCGAGCCCTTGCCAATCACGGATCTACCTTCTGTCTCTATGCATTTGCCTATTCTGGACATTTCCTACGAACAGAATCATACAATACGTGGCCTTCTGTGTCTAAGTACATGTATCAGCACTCCATTCTTTTTTATGGCTGAATGATATTCATTTATATGGATATACCACATTTTGTTTATCCATTCTTCAGTTGATAGACACTTGGGTTGTTTCCACTTTTTGGCTATTATGAATAACGCTGCTATGAACATGCGTGTACATGTTTCCTATTGCTTTTAAGAGAAGACCAACACCCTTGCCAAGGCCACAAGGCCCTGCCAGCCTGGCCCTGCCCACCTGTCCAGCAGCACCTCATTCTCCCTGCCCCTCACTCTTTCCAGCCACAATGGCCTCACCCAGTTCCTCACGGCCCCCTATCCTCCCCTGTCACTAGGCCTTTGCATTCTCTGTGTACGCTTTCTGGAGCACTCTTCCCATGTGCACCCCAAAACACCCCCTTTATCCAATTAATCCCTACTCACCCTTCAAATCAGAGAAAAAGCATCATTCCTCTCAGAAGAACCTTTGCTGAACCCCTCCCACACCCAGGGCTCTGGCACTTACTGTGTGATATTGCGATTTATAAGAAATACACATTGCTCATTCAGATGACCAAAATATATTTCTCATATATATTTGGTCTTCATCCATGGTTCTGGACTCACAGCTCCCCAAACCCTCAGAATTTCCTAAGTGTTGAGAGAGATAAAGGTATCGTTTGTGATGTGATGAGGTGACTTTTGGAAGCACCTAAGGATGGGGCTGGCTGCCAGGAGAGCCGACCACGTGATCAGCGGGTCGGAACTTTCAGTCCCACCTTCTGACCTCCAGGCACAGGAGAGGGGCTGGAGGTTGAATCAATCACCAACGGCCACCAAACGGCCAATGATTTAATCTATCACACCTATGTGATGAAGCCTCCATAAAGACCCAAAAGGAGAGGCTAAGAGAGCCTTCAGGTTGGTAAACACGTGGGGATTTGGGGACAGGGCATGGACGCCCCCCACCTTCCCACATACCATCCCCTATACACCTCTTCCATCTGGCTGTTCCTGGTTGCATCATTTTATAGCAAACCGATAACCTAGTAAGTAAAATGTTTCTCTGAGTTCTGTGAGCCGTTCTAGCAAATCACTCAAACCCGAGAAGGGGGTCGTGGGGTCCTCTGATTTACCACCTGTCAGTCAGAAGCACAGGTGACAACCTGGACTTGAGATCAGTGTCTGCAGTGTGGGGGGACAGTCTAATAGGACTGAGGCCTTAAACTGTGGGGTCTGATGCTATCTCTGGGTAGACAGTGTCAGAAGTGAGCTGAATTGTGGGACACGCTGCTGGTGCCCAAGAATTCTTTGTTGGTGTGAGGAACACCCCCTCCCATTTTGGAAATTGGGTCCAGGAAGCTAATTCAACTGCTATAACTTTACGATTATTCATATGACTGTTTTATTAATTGCTGTTCTCCCCTCCCCAAGATTATAAATTTGAGGAAGGCCAGGACCGAGATTTACTTTTGCTCGTCATTTTCTCTCTCTCATCTAACACAGTGCCTGGCAAATACTGAATGAATGAATGTATGAACAAATGCCACTTGCCCTACTGATGGGCAGCAAAGGGTTAGCTCTCTGTTGTTGATGTGGCAGGGACAGGAGGCTCCCTTCTCCGGTCCACCTCTGGCCAGGACACTAATGTGGCCACTGATCAAGGCCATGGGCTCACAGGATCGTGGCCCCTCCAGAGGAGGAAAATCAAAGCCCCACTCTAGGTGGCCGTGGGGAGGCAAAACCCACCCCTCTCCCAGACTCACCTGGGTCATGGTTGGGACAGAAGAGACTGGCACTGGAGTGGGCTCTGGTGTTAGATGTCGGGAGTCCTCGTGAGGCCCCGCCTGTCCTCTGAGCTCCTTGTCCCTGGGGACGACGCGGTACAGCTCCAGTTTCCCAGCTGGAACATATCCTCGATGTCCTACAGGATATGTAGAACATTATCTGGCTGCAGAACAACCATCCCCATCCCTTTTAGCGGGAGAGGAAGTCACCACCGTTCGTGGATGTGAATGCCCCCAGCACAGCTTCTCAGCCCTAAAGAGGACCTGAATAGGTAACCTGGGAACCTCACAAACCCACTTCCACCCCACCCCGCTTCCAGGGGTTTCCAGCTTCTGCTTACACACCCCCAGTGACACGGAGCTCATTCCCTGCTAAGGCAGCCCACTCCGTTTTAAACAGCTCTGACAGAGATACAAAGTTCTTCCTCGGACTGGTGTGAAAACTGCTTTCTCAGTCCCCTACCCCTCTAGGGGCAGCCCTAGCAAGGCTGCTTCCTTGACCCAGGACAGCCGGTTCTAGAAGGCAGAAATTGCCTTTCTCCTCCCCAAATGCCCCCAGTTCCTTCACATGTAGCGACTACCCCAGTGTTCCTCTGGCTGCTATCGTTATGAATGGCCAGCACTGCCCTAGAGCTTGCTAGGTACCAGGCCAGCATTTGATTATCTAGTCTTCCCACCAACTCTCCATTTTACGGCGGAGCCAACCAAGCTCAGAGAGGCTCCCTGACTTCTCCAAGATCACACAGTTCGTAAAGTAGCAGAGCTGGGGTCCAAACCCAGTCCTCTTGACCCCAGGGGCCTCACTTTAATCTCCATGCAGCAGTTTTCCAACTCGAGTCATGAGACTGTCCTTTCATGATTTCTGCTGGATTTGTACTGTTTCTTAATTTTTTAATAGACTCACTTTTTAAAACTTAGTCTTGCACCATACAATATGAATAAAATCCTGGTTTTATGTACTAGCTATGTTTTTTCTAATACACACTAAAATACTTAATAATTGCAATAAACTATCTGAAAGGGGAGAAACTCTACATAGACAGCACCACTCCCGCCAAGTAGTCCTGTGTGACCTGCATCTTGTGGTCACATGCCCTTCTCTGGAAGACACTCTGCTGGACCATCTCCTGCTGGGTTCACCTGCCTCCTGCCTCCTGCCCCGTTACACCGGGGCACCCAGAACTGAAGAGCACACCCAATGGCGTGGCAAGTGCAGAAGGAACAGGATAACCCCTCCCTCAATCTGGATGTCTGTCCACGTAGCTGGGATCCAAGCATCCCTGCTCCACGTATCTGCATCTTCCAGGGTGATGCTGAAGTTCTCTCCATACAGCTCCGTTACCCCAGTGGTCTGTGAGGTCCCCAGGGTAGGGTCCCTCTTCCTTGCATAGCACCCAGCAAACAGTAGGTGCTTGCTAACGGCTGTTGCAATGAAAGACTGAATTCCTCTTTTGGGCATTCCATGTACCACACTAAGCCAGCTGTGCCCCAAGCCCTGCATTTTCACCTCTGCTCATTCCCATGCAGGATTTGCACAGCCAGCCTGGCCCACAGGAGTGCCTGCGTCTCCCCACTGGCTCCTGTTGGGTGGTTTTCCCAGAGGGAGGAGAAGGGCTCACAAAGTCCCACGTACCCCCAGTGTCCACCAGCCAGCGGCTGCTATTGCCTTTGGTGTCCTTGTTTTGAAGGAGGGCCACAACTTGGCCCCGTGGCAGTGTCAGGTCCAGAGTCCCAGCCCCGCTGATGTTGCTTGTCACCTGGTACAGCTTTCCCGGGCCATACCTGCTCAGGAGGGCCTGCACTTGGCGTTCAGCCCCTGGAAGGAGCGGCTGGGGGAGGAGGGACAGAGACAGACACAGGTGCATGAGTGGGCGTGCAAAAGCTGGCTCCAACGTGTGCCCACATGCTGAGAGCCAGTTGCTCTGGGCCCATCCTGCCTCTGCTGCCAATGGGCCCATCCCAATTGGGGCAACAGTCTCCCTCTAACACATGGCTGGATTAGACGAGAAGCACATGCTCTTAGTATCGAACAGCATCTCAGAAGAAACCTCTAATTTCACCTCTAATATCCTTCCCAAGTCTAAATTTCTGGGATTTTCTAAAATTCTAATTCAGGTTCTGAAATTTCTTAGTTCCAACACTCCAGGAGTGGACCCAAAATTCTGCCCATAACATCAAACTAAGTTATCCCACAGGAAAAGGCCTTACACAGGTCTTTCAACCCCAAGGAGCAACATTATGAGCTCCATGTGGACACCAGGCCTTACTCATCCAACATCTTTTTTTTTTCAAAGATTTTATTTTATTTTTCCTTTTTCTCCCCAAAGCCCCCCAGTACATAGTTGTATATTCTTAGTTGTGGATCTTTCTAGCTGTGGCATGTGGGACACCGCCTCAGCATGGCCTGATGGGTGGCGCCATGTCCGCGCCCAGGATTCGAACCGGCAAAACCCTGGGCCGCCACAGTGGAGCTCACAAACTTAACTACTCGGTCACGGGGCCGGCCCCTCATCCGGCATCTTAAACAGCCAGCACAGGGCTGACACATGCAGACCCTCACACACGTGGGAGTAAAGGGAATGCCATCTTTTATTCCATGAGTTTTCAGTCCACAAGTATTTATTGAGCACCTGCGGTTTACAAGGCATGGTAAGCCTTGTGAATGGTATAGCAGGAACACAGGAGAGAGTTTTTCCCTGAAGGAAACTGCCGTCTAGCTGGAGAGAGAGACTCAGTGGCACTTTCAGCTCATCCAAAAATCTCCTGGCATTGCCTTTGTTTTTTCATTCATTGCTTCCCGCAAAAGTATCAGCAAGAAGGCACTCAGGGTGATTGGCCCATATTTGTAAAATAAAGAAGAAACTAAAAATGTTGAATATAGATATACTATATATTATCTCTTATGATAAACAGATAGATAGATAATGTATATGTATTCACCATGTTCTACATGGCCATCTCTGGGTGGGAAGGTGCTGGGTGTAGGGCCGCCCTTCAGGGACATTTGAGCACAGACCCTGCCATTACTGATACTCCAATGGGTTCACTGAATGGGTTCAGGATCAAGAACCAGGAGGACCGATGTTTCTAAATAGGCCCTGACACGGAAGTGTGGAGATGGGGAGCTTTTTTTCAGAACAGTGGTGTCAAGGTGAGTACAAAAGCGAGTGGTGTAGCCAACATCGGTCCACTTTCTCTAGTCCAGTAGGCCCCCTGCTGTGCAGAGACCAGCAGCACTCCCTGGAGGGACTGGGGGACGTGTGTAAAGACATCACTGGGACTGCTCCTGTCCTGGATGGCCACCTCACATCTGTGGGTCCTGTACCCTTAGCCAAATAAGTCAGGAATTTATGTGCAGTGCGCGCGTGTGTGCGCGCGCACATGTGTGAATGGCAGTGGGGGGGTGTTCTGGGGAGAGATGGGGAAGGGGGGGGGGTCTCTTCTCTTCCTACCAATTTATAACATACACTGGGATTATGCTGTTCCCATTTGTTTCTTCTTTTTGTTTTTCTGTGTCTTCTCTTTTTTCTACAATCAGCACGGATTGCTTTTCCAACAAGAAAATGTTATTTTAAGCAGGGACAGGAGGTTCCCGTGACTCACGTGAGTGGCTGCTCTGTTCTGCTCCCAAGCTGCAGGGCCCATGGCCCACACCTCTGCCAGGGCAGTCTCAGTGCAGTGGGAGGAAGCAGGGACAGCTGCGACCCGAGAGGCGTCAGCCGCCCCTTGGAGTAGACGTGCATCTCTGATGTCTTTGCCCTCCCCTGCACGCTGGCCCGACATGAAGGCCGCCTGTATCTGTCTCTGGGTCCTTTACTTGTCTCTGGGTCCCCAGGCCCCCTTCTCCCTTCTGGGGAACCTTGGAGCTGTTTCCTGACCCCTCACTTCTCATCTCCCATGGGCCTGGGTACATTCAGTCTTCTCACACCCGGGTTGTGTCACACTCTGGGAGCCCCTTCTCCCTCCAGCTACTTCAGTTACTTTAAAAACATATAAGACCTGGGTCTAGCCTCCAAGTGGACTGGAAGATACGCTTTCCTTCATTTTAGAGAAAAATACTTTAGCAAGAAAAGCACTTGGCTAGCCAAAGTTTTATAAACCATAAAGCAGCTGAAACCCTGTCTTTTGCGACTAAAAATTCCACAGCAAAAAGAAAATTTAAATGACTCCTGACTCAAACTGTGTATTCACCCTGAGTGCTGGTACAGTCATACGTTGCTTAACATCAGGGACATGGTCTGGGAACACCTTGTTAGGCAATTTTGTCGTTGTGTGAACATCATAGAGTGCACTTACACACACCTAGATGGCACAGCCTACTACACACGTAGGCTGTATGGTACTAACTTATGGGGCCACCGGTGTATGTATGGTCCGCCGTTGACTGAAACGTCATTATGTGGTGCATGACTGTATTTGAAGCAGGTTCAGTGAGGAGGTGGTGAGGAAACGGTAAATTTTGATGAAAAATTTGAAGAAGTTCCAGGTTTTTAGATGTTAGTGCCACTTGCCCATTATTATATCTAATTTCACTTAATATTAAAATGTTTGGGTTTTCTTATTCTTGATCTAAGAGTTCTATTCTGCTCTTATGCTTACTGGCCATGAAGAACAGGTGTGCATGTGGGTGTGAACCCCGCCTGACCCCACGCCCAGCTCGCAGGGAGAAAGGAGCCAGGGAGAGGGGCGATGTCCCCGCAGGTACCAGGAAACGCTGGGAAACGAAAAGGCAAAAGAAATAGGGGATTGGGCCTCCGCCCACGGGCAGGTGAAGGAGTGACGGTCTTTAGGATGGACAGTGTTTGTGGGGAAGGAAGGACACTTACTTGTATGGTAGGAGGTGGCAGCACTTTCTCGAAGTTCTTCTGAAAGGAGTGAAGCTGGTGACTGGTCTGGCCTAGTGCATCCTCCACCAGTTTCCTGAAGGCCAGCTCAGGGATGTGGTGGTGGGGTAGCTGGCGGGGGGACAGACACTGTCAGCAGAGCCTTCGTCAGGAGAGAGGGGACAGGGAGACCCTGGCAGTCCACACTCTGGCTCCAGGTATGTTAAGATGGGCCTTTCTGTCACGGTCACCTGTTGTTTCTGTCTGCCTACTGCCCCACTTCCCTTTCAGAACGCATTCTGCTGGGGCGTTGAGTAGCACTGCCCATCCTGGCGCTCCAGCCCCAGGTCTGGCAGCCATGGCATCCTTTCTCCTATCCACCACGATCAGTCCAACGATTGGATGGTGGATCCGAGCAAGGCCAATTGAAATCCTCCCACCAGATCTAGAATATGAAGCCTGGAACAACAGGGTCGCTCTTCCTTTGGATCCTGAGATGTAAAGGTAAACGCTTGCAGCTCTTGTGGGCCAGCTCTCCCATCATGCAGGAAAAAGCCTGCCTGAGAATAAAGCCAACCCAGAGAGGGAACCAGAGCTGGGGAAAGTCAGAGTCCTGACAACATCATTGGTACTGAATGCTGATGGGCCTGAGGCTGGGTTCCCTCCGGGCCTCCTATTTATATAAGTCAACATGGTCTTCTTTATGCCTGAGCTGGTTTGGAACCCAAGGAGCTCTGAGTAATGCTCCATCCTCAGACCTTGGTGCTGTTAGGCATCTCCTGCATTCTCATCAGACACCCTAGGCATGAGAGAGACCCCACAGCTAACAGAGACGTGTCCTTTCTGCTTGTCACTAAACTCACTGCTCTTGGTTCTGTCCTAGAGCCGCCCGCCCACCCCCAGGATGCAGACAGATTGAGGTTCTACCCTGCAGGCCCTTCCCAGGCCTCACAGGACTGGTCCAGGTGAATGGGCCATGGGCACAGACAAAGCTGGCATCATCACTGACAGGCCCTCACATTCTATATTACAGGGGCAACCAAGAAATGCCCTCCTTCTGCTTTTATAAAGTCGACCCCCCCTCCCCTACTGGAATCCTGTAACACTCCCCAGCCCTGCACATCCCCTCCAAATAAACAGGGGTCTGGCAGCCCTGGAGAGAAAGCTAGAGGGCGGGGAGAGAATGAAAGGATCGTCTAATCAGATTTACCCTCTGCCTTCAGGGAAGAGAAATGCTTTTCTGCAGATGGCTCAGGCGTAACTCAATTCAAAAAGAGCGTCTGAGACAGAACTAGAGACTAAATGCAGTGAGGGACAACAAGCAGCAGCCCACAGTCCCAGCCCTCCTCAAGGAGGAGAAACAGCTTCATCCGTCACGCCAGCAGAAGGCAGACTCTGAGAATGCTTAGCAGGGGCACAACCTGAGGGCTGCTGGAAGATAGGGGATGGGGAGATGGGTTCTCCCACCTGGGGGAGGGGATTCGGAGAGCTTCATGGAGAGACTCATTCATCTGTCACATATCTAGGGAGTTCTTCCCATACACCACACACTGTGAAAGGCAGTGGGGATGATGAGGAGGGGCATGCCAGGCCGAGGAAGCAGTCTGTGCAAAGGCACTGGGGTCACACTCAGACGTGGTATGCTGGAGGTGGGGGCTACAGGCATAGAGTGGGACTATGAGCTGGAAAGGTAGTGAAGGGGTCAAATTTTAGAGGAATTTTAATGCAACAAACTGGATGGGAAAGCTGAGCTGGGCAACATGGAGCACAGGAGACAGCATGTGGTACAAGGAGTACTGAAATTACTCCAGAGGTTGGACCCACAGGCCATTCAGCTCTGATGCTGACATCAGAGAGAGATCTGAAAGCAGTTGAGTATTCTTGCCTATATCAACTCCAGTCTTCAAAATTCTAAAATCAAAGTTTGTACTTAGAGGTTTGTCCAAACCTCTCTGTGACCTATTTATGCTTTCAGCAGACAGCTCCTCTCACCGGCTGTCGAGCATTATGGTTCAGAGCCCAGGCTCTATAGAGTTGAACTGCCAGGGTTCAAATCCTACTAGCTGTGTGGCCTTGGGAAAGCTGCTTAGCCTCTCTGAGCCTCAGCTTCCTTTTGAAAGGAGGATAGTAAGAACACCAACTCTGTAGGGTTATTGTGAGGATTAAGAGAGAGAATACACAGAAGGTGCTCCACACAGATACACAGTAAGTACTCATGGGGGAGGCAGCTGCTAGAAGCAGTAATAGGAGCAGGAACACCAGCTCGAGACATTGACTCCTGACAGTACAGAAGGGACCTTGCCTCTGTCATCAACTTCTAATCCACCCCAGGGAGCAGTCCCAAGGTCTGCTATTTTCCCAGCAGAGCCTCCTCTGCTTCTGAGTTCCAGAACCTGGAAGGGCCTGGAATCCCAGTTCTATCCTTGCTTTCAGGGTCTGATGCCATTAATGGAGGGAGAAGATGCACTAGACAGAGCCAGGAGGTCCCCTGGGTTCCTCCTAAGCACCTGACGGCCTGTTTGGAAGGCCCAACCTCAGTCCATCCCAGCTCCTGCAAGCAGCGGGCTGCAGGGGCGACAAGGCCTTGCCTGGCTCTTCCCCAGAGGCGCCGCAGTCCCAGGGGCCTTACCTGAGCCAAGCTGCCCTCTGCCCTCTGCAGCACCTGCTTGGCAAGGTCCCTCTGGAGGGCCACGAACGTGCACAGGATCTGGCGCAGCCACTGCATGGCCAGCTGGTTAAACTGCGGGAGCTCGGCCACCAGCATGGAGTTGAGTGCCTGGTACGTGTGCCGGGCCACCTCCTCCTCGTAGGACACACTGCCCACCTCCAACAGCTTCTCTTCCACCCGCTCAAAGTCCAGGAGTTTGTCCAGACGCTTCTTGATCAGGTTCTGAGGGCCGGCCAGGGTTTTGGCCAGGCTGCACAGTGGCTGCCACACCAGGCCTTCCAGCCGCCGCTTCTGTGGGGAAGGGTGGGCTTGGGAGGCTGGGAAGGAAGTGGCAGAGGGCAGGCACTGGGAAGGGGCTGGGAGATAGGCAGGACCAGGCTCCAGTCCCACCCCTACGAACTAGCTGTGACCTCCAGCATGTTTTCTAACTTTTCTGGGGCTCTCAATGTGCCCACCTGAATACATATAAGCCAATACATGTAAGCCAATACATGTAAGGAGCTTAGCAGAGTGCCGGGCACAGAGCAAGTATTCAGTATATGTCACTTCATATCATCACCGTGCACAGATCTTGAAAAAGATTTTGTATCGAGTGGTATCAAAAGCACAGTCTTTAGGGCTCAGATGCCAGCTTGCCAGTGACATCTGAATAACCCAGGAGGGCACCCTCTCTGGGCCTGAAGCTCTCATGCGCAGAATGGGGCTATTAATAGTATCTGCCTCGTAAGCCATGTTGCAAGGATTAAATGAGGTGAAGAATGTAAAGGGCTTAGCGCAGTGCCTGGCAGATAGAGAGGCTCCACAAACGTTAGCTGCAGCTATTTTTATCAGGAGAATGCACTGATGATAATCTCCGTCCTGCTCACTATCCGGGTGGTTATGAGCGTGACAATCCTGTGAACTGCCTGACGTCGAAATACCATTCTTTCAGGCTCTGCCACCTGCCCACCAAAGAAAGGGGAGCGGAGAAGTCCCACTCACAAACTCCGGGAAGGCCTGGAGCTGGAGGTCTCTCGTCAGGCTGCAGTACTGCACCACCGGCCCCCCGCCGACGTCCAGGTCACACTCCTGCGGCCGGAAGTGGAGGAAAGCCTGGACCAGGGGCAGATGGGGGACAGCGAATCACGGCCTGTCGTGGCCATCTCACACCTGAATCCCTCTCCACCATGCCCCCTCAGAGGTTGTCCAGGCTGTCTGCACACCTGCCATGACAGGGAAGCACACAGCCTATTCTGTCCTTGCACATCTTGAGTGATTAGAGAGTTCTTCCCTAGACTGAGCCAACATCTTTCTCCTTATTCCAGTGCTTCCCAAACTGCACATATTTGCCCATCACCTTTGTGATTTTTTTTTTTGCCATGTCCATATTCCACATGCTCTAGTAATACTTTTCTTTAAATCAACTAACTATTCCTATTTAAGTCAATGCATTAGGGGGCTGGCCCCATGGCTGAGTGTTAAGTTTGTGCGCTCCACTTTGGCGGCCCAGGGTTTCACGGGTTCGATCCTGGGTGCAGACATGGCACTGCTCACCAAGCCATGCTGAGGCGGCGTCCCACGTGCCACAACTAGAAGGACCCACAACTAGAATATACAACTATGTACTGAGGGACTTCAGGGAGAAGGAAAAAAAAAAAAAAGGAAGATTGGCAACAGATGTTAGTTAGCTCAGGGCCAATCTTTAAAATAAACAAACAAATAAATGCATTAAAAAAAAAAACCACCTTATGACACAACCATAAGGGGAAAGCCAGTAATAATCACCATAAGTAGGCATGTATGAATAATAGCTATAAAAACAAACACTGTTATTAAGTTCTGTCTGGACGTCACTGCCTGCTGCTCCCAGCCGGAGACCTGCTCCATCTGTGTCAGACACGCCAGCGAAAGGCTTTTCTTAGACTCAGGGAATTGAAAGAGGGAGTCGCTTTCTCACTTGGGGATCCACGTCAACACTGTACCTGTTGTGTTAAGTCCTGCATCTATGGAAATGCAGCCTTAATACGTCCAAATGTCCACAGACCCTACAAAGCCAGCTGTGTCTCCCCAGGCCCCACGATTCCTTCTTAGGACACAGCTCTGAATGCCTTCCCCTTCTGGTTCACTGTGTTGCTCAGACCCTTCCACTGGGGGTCCAGGATGGAGCAGGAATACGCAGCGAGCTCTCCCCACACAGGAGCGTGGCCCTGTGACCTCCCTCCTTTTACACACTCCCTATAAGGCCACCCCAAATCCCACTATCCAAAGAGCCTGTTATCGTCTGACTACGCTGGTCTGCGCAAACAGATGTGATTGACAACAAAACCATGTAAAAGGGACGGAGTGGAAGCAATGAGTCAGCAGCAATGACAAGAATGAAGGGGGATCTGGGCACAAGGAAAATGACATGCTGGACGGTCACGCAAACTGGTGTTCCTGCGGGCTGAATGCAGTGTGTAGAAATATATTGTCTTGGGCCTGCAGAGCATTTAAATTTCTATTTAATTAGTTGCTCACGTGGATACATCATGAGGTTTCACCTGCAAGTCTGAATTTCCACGGTTTTTTTCTTAAAATCGGAAGAGCAGACTACACTGAGTCTACCTTCCCACAGAGCAGAGACTCCCCTGAGATTTTATCCCCTTTTAGATTTTATTCCTTCCTTCCTTCATTCAGTCATTCAAATCCCAAATATTTTTATAAATTTAACTACTGGAAAGTCTCATAACGTGTCTGTTAGATATTCAGCCTCACACATACGTACACATTTCACTCAATAATATTACTTGCCAGGCCCCTCCAGGTTCCTGAGTTTGTCACCTGCTCCAGGTGCTGGTCTGGAAGGGTCCCTCTGGAGGGCTCTGAGCGCAGTGAATTTTGACTCTGCCCAGTGAGAACCTCACCCCCTGAGAGCTCAACGGGCTACTCAGAGCTCACGCCCTACTCAGACGCCCTGGGGGCTGAGGAGCCCTCGCACATGGCCCTGCTTCTGGCCTGCAGCCAGCGACTAGATGACCACCTCCTTTGGGCTCCTGTAGCTGGTGCCTTTGCCAGCTTGTCCGATGAGCCCCACGTACCTCCTGCCTGGGGAACCCGGCCCAGCCCAGCCCATTATTAACGGCAGGCAGGATCCTCACCTCCAGATTATCCAGGTAGGCAGCCACGTTGTTCTTCGTCTCCTTTACACACAGCGACACCCAGTGGAACCTTTCTTCTAAATCATCAAATTCTTTGTCTTCCGTCTGGCGGTAAAGTTATGCTCATGAGGACCCAGAACATCCACACAGGGGAAAGGTACATCCCACACCCATGTCCCAAGTCCTCACTGGGATCACATCAACAGACCCGCGCATCACAATCACTTCCCCCAGCCCCCAAGCTGAGCGGGATGGTTAGAGGCAGTGAGTGCAGCTTAGTGGTTTTATATTCAGACCATGGAATCAAACACTCAAGCATATGAGTCCTGGTTCATTTGCTTCTTAGCTGTGTGACCCTAGGCAGATATTTTACCCTCTCTGGGCCTGTCTTCTCATCTGCAAAATGGGGTAATAGGAACACCTACTTCACTGTGGATCAAATAACACCTGGTTCAGAGTAAATACTCAATCTTGGTCTGCCCAGACCCAGAGATTAGCACTTCTCCTATCTGTATAAAGAGATGCTCAGGGAAAGAGTAGCACAAGATGCAGTGGAGAAAGCCCTCCCCTGGCTCTTCAGAATCAAGTGGGGGTGCCAACTCTGTCTCTTCCTGGCTATGCAACGCTGGGAAGTCACTTCACTCCCTCAGCCTCAGTTTCCCTCATCTCCACAAGGAGTCTAAGCCCCCTGCCTTGCCCACTGACAGTCTTGCCCCTTGGGATGGTTGGGACGAGACCCTTGCCGCCCATGCTCACCCTGGGCACGAGCCCCGCCTCCTGCTTCAGCAGCTGGCTCAGCCGGGTGGTCTTTTTGGAGAGGGTGTGCGTGTTGATGCGGGCCAGGCGCTCCCGGAGGGTCAGCTGCTCCACCTTGGTGTACTTGGAGGCTGCAGGGACAGAGGAGAGGCAGGGTTCGGGGACCAAAGCTGACCCAGGAAAGCGAGCGTCCCTGACACACCAGGCCAGGCACCCGCTTGGGCCCACTTCTCAAACATCAGGGTCACGCCCATCAGCAGGCTGGGCATGGAGGAAAAGCACAGGGCTCGGAGCCCTCCCTTTGAATGGAAGCTGTGGCGAACAGCTCCCTGCCTGCTTGACTTTGCCAAGCCACCACTTCTTGAGCCTCAGTTTCCTCATCTGTAAACGAGGCTCGCCACCTCACAGGATTGCTGGGAGGATCCCATAAGACGATGGGTCTGAATGTACTTTCTAAAGAAGAACCCAAGCGGGAGGTGATTGGCCTGAGGTCCCTCAGCCAGTGTGAGCCAGGCCGGGTGGGAACCACGCTTTCTCAGTCCTGGCTCAGGCTTTCCCCCCATGTGCCACCTCCTGACCTGGATGGAGAAGCAAGTGAGGAAAAAATCAGAAACTGCCAGATGGAGTCTGGTGTGGGAGGGAAGACCCCGGGCCTGAGAGTGAAAGCTAGCTCTGTCCCTTACCTGCTCTGTTACCTGGAGCAAAGGACTGAAGCTCTCATTTTACCCAACTGTGAAATGGGGCTGACAGTGCCACCCTCAGAGGGCTATTGTAAGGATCAAACATGACAACGAATAAAAAATGCATCACAGTTAGCCCTTAGGAAACATTAGCAAAATTATCAGTATTACGTGCCTCAGTTATGCAACTGAGTTTCTCTCTACTCGGGACACGGCTTCATTTTCCAAACCTTTCTGTTTTAACAGCCAGAGAGGCACAGTTCCCCACCTTCCTCTGCCCCTCACCCCCACCCCAGGATACACACTGCTCTCTGCCTCCCCAGTGTTTGTTTCTCCTCCACAGTATAGCAGCCACGTGGTTTTGATAGGACTGACCTCACTTTAGCTCAAGGAGTGGGTGCTGACTGGTATAAGCCAATTCATATAGTCCCATCCGCTGGCTACAGTGATTGGTTCAAAGAAGGGTACATAACAAGACCTAAGCCAATCAGCTCATGGCATTCGCCTAACCATAGTGATTGGTTCAGGGTGAGCACACGACCCAAACGGGTCCTATCAGAGTGAAGCTACAATTTAATTTTTACTGTTAAGGGGAGAAAGGTCCTGTCTTGTCCTGGAGGGTGTGGCTGCAGACGTGAGTCTTGGAACAGCTATAGCTATTTACTACTATGAGGGAGGCCAGCCTGAAGAGGAAGATGACACACAGTAAAGAGTAGAGACAAGAGAATTACAGGGAAATGAAGCCAGCACCCTAATCAAGCCCTACCTAAAGCCCACATTATCTCTGGACTTGTAGTTACATGAGCTACTACATGCCCTCTATTGGTGAAGCCAGTTTGAGATGAGTCTTTTGGTAACTAGCAGCATTCTCACTGCTCTACCCTAAATGTCCTGAGTCCTTACCCACTTCTTTGCGCCTCTTGTATTCATTGATGTTGGCGTTCACATCCTGGAGGGCATGGGTAGCCCTCTGAAGGACAGGGTAGGCGCTGGCATCAGGGAGTGTGTTCTCCAGGATTTTCTGCAGCAGCAGTGGGTACTTGGTAATCCTCTGCAGAGGGATTACCAGTAAGAAACTGAGGCCTGAGGATCCAGCTTGTGGCCTGAAGGAGAAGGCGGGTGTTAGGTCAGTGAAGCCCATCCCTGGGGGAACCAGAGGGCCTGGGCTCTAGCCCCAGCTCTGCCAACTGTGTGATCTCAGGCAAGTCCCCCTGCTTCTGTGGTCCTCAGTTTCCCCATCTGTAATTCCTGAGGTCTAGCTGTTGGACGAGTGCTGCTAGTTCTTGCTTTGCCCCTTTCTGGGCCTTGGTTCCCTGTCTGTACCAAACGCAGTGGTCAGTTCTCTGCCTGAGCTCAGCTTACTTGTCTCTCGACAAGAGACACAGCTGACCACTCCCTCTTCCTCGAAACACTTTCTTCTTTCGGCCCCAGAGGTGTTCTTTGTCCAGCTTCTCATACTCCACAGGCTGCTCTCTTGGCCTCCTCTGCCGGCCTCTCTCCAATGCCAGGGTGCCCAGGGCCTCCTCTCCTCCCTCTCCACTCACTCTCTGCCTGATCTCACTTAGTCTTACGGCTTTAAACACATCCCAAACCCAGATCTCCACTTCCAACTTCTGCCCAGAGCGCCAGACTCACACGGTCCACTGCCTGCTTCTCATCCCCGCTGGGGGACATCCCAAACACAACTCTACGTGCTGGTCGGTCATCCACATGATATTTCATTAATAAAATGGTTCTGCTGCTTTAAAAAAGAAGTTTTTAAAATCACAGGAACTTAATGTTTACAGATGCATTTAAAGCACTTAAAGGTAAAAAGTCATCTGCATTTTCCTTTAAATAGTTTAGCATGAAAATAGATGAAGCAAAAAAACATAACACTTGTTCATTTCAGGTGGTGGGTATATGAGCGTTCATTACATCCTTCTATTTCATTAAAAAAAGTAAAAAAGAAAACAAAACACAGGAACTAATAGCGTCCAGGTCCCTTCCAGATGTACCATTTGTTGCATCGATGACTATTTCTAGTTCCTTTCTCGATGACATCTGGAATTTGCAGAAAGAGCCCCTGAGTCAATGGCATCTAAGAAGAGGCTGCAACAGTCTTGCCTTGATCATGACCAGACCCACCTTCTGAGAAACCCACGAGGCCTTCAAACCTCAGTGTCCAAGTGCGTCTCCTCCAAGATGACTCACAGACGCAGCTCAGGACCGTTTTCTGGCCCCCTTTCCATGGCACCCTTGCCTCTGGCTCCTCTTTCTATGGAAAAATCTCCAGACCAAATGTCCAGGAAAGATCAACCACGAGGCTAAGGGTAGGCAGGGCAGGTGGGAGCCCCCTCATTAGCTGCAGGGGGTAGGAAGCAGGGGTGGGACTCTCTCTCAGGACACATCTACACTGACCACGTGTTCTCACCACGGGTTTTCTAGTGCTTGGTTGACCACGGGCAGGGTAGGTGGAAACAGTTAGCAGATATTTGTAAAACTGTCCTCTGGGCTTACTTTGCATGGGAAAGGGCCAACTACCTCCTGGGGATAGCTGTTCCCTCACAAATCAGAGGGTAGGGGGTCTTCCAAGAGACAATCACAGCTCTTCCCCACAATCATCGAGGAGTCAGCACAGAATTACAGCAGCCTCTGACACGGACAGCCTTTCTTAGGTAATTTGGAGAAAAGATTTCATGCAGCCTATCAGACAGCCAACAAAAACTGAAAGACAATCCCCAGAGCTGGGTGAGTGTGGGAAAACAGGCGCTCTTACATTCTCTTCATGGGAGTATCAGTTGGAGAGAGCTTTTTGGAGCACGGTTTGGCAATTTGCGAAAGGTACAAACCCTCCATTCCATTAATCCTACTCTAGAAATCTACCCACAGAAATATCAACTCAAGAGAGCAGGGATGAAGGCAGAAGTTATTCTGCAACTCTATTTATGACAGTAAAAAACTGGAAACAACCCAAATATCCATCAGTAGGGCAATGGTCAAATAAACCATAGCCTATGAGCTGCCATGGACAGGAATTCTACGCAATCATTACAAAGAACATGGTAGAACTATTTGTACTGTCGTGAAAAGATATTCATGACCATGGTTAAGTGAAAAAGAAAGTTCTAGAACGGCATGTATAGTAGGAGCCCTTTTAAAAATTCATTCTATCTATCCATCCATCCATCCATCCATCCATCTATCTAGACTTTCCCATGGAATGTGTGCTTCCTGTCTGTCTGCCTACCTGTCTGTAAATATACAGAACCTTGGGTGGAAAACGTTAAGTACTAGGGGGAAGGACAGGGAAACAGGAGACCAAGAAGGGATGGACTTTTACTCTTTTAGTTTACATACCTGTGTATTATTTGAATTTTCCTTTTTTCAACAAGCATACATTACTTTTCTATTTAAAGCAAACAAAAATTGCCAATAAAGAAAAACAAAGAAAATTATTTGCCTTCTCCAAACACTCTGCCTCAGCCATCATTCTGGAAGTGCGGGTGCTTTGTGCTGGACTGATGCGCCTCTGCACTGCAGCCTCCTCCCACCCCGACGGCTACCCCATTACAACAGTCCTACCTAAGGCAGCACTCCCTGCCCACGCAAGGATGAGCCTGTGATCCCCTCGCCCTCAGCTGGGAAGCTCTGCCTTAAGACACAGGCTAAACTGAACACCCACTCACCCACCCAAAGAAAGGGTGGGAGGCAGCATGCATTTTGGAATCACAAAGAATCTGATTAGACGGTGCCATCTATCCTAACTGGCTGAGAAAGAACCATTTATGGCTGGTGTGGTGATTCCAGGTGGCCAAGTTCCAGAAACATTCCCATGATCATCAGCACAAGAAAGCAGGGATTACTGCGTCAAGATGGAGGAGATCAGAAGTCATGCTGACGGGAAGAACGTCATTCCTGGTGCAACATTAGACCAGAGGTTCTCATCGAGGCCATTTTGGAAACTTGTAGACTCGGGGGTGCTCCAGGCATTTCGTGGGCAGGGAGCGAGGACGCAGGACACCCTGCGAGGACAGGCCTGCACTGTGGAGAACTGTCTATGTCTCAGATGGCCCTCGGAGCATTCAGAGACTGAATGAAAGCCTTGAAATGTGCTGCGATGTCAAGAACTGAGACATTTTTTGCGACACTTCAACTCCATCCAGTCCCATGTCATAACCCTGGGAATTGTTATGACATTACCTTTGATAAATAAGACCCAGATCATCTGCAAGAACATCATACTTCCTCCTTTCCTCTGCCTCCCAGGATGTGCTGTTATCCCTACTTCCATTACGTCATTTCCTTCTTTCTCTTACCATATACAAGGAAGTCAGGCTTGTCATCAGTGCCAGCTGCTATTCTAGCACAGACACACTCTCTGCTCTTCCATTTTTCTATGCTTATATAGGACGGCTTCTGACTTTTCTTCCTTAATCCAAACTTATTTATTGTAAGTAGGTGCAAGCATCTGATGGCTTCATTCTATCTTCCAGTGTAGTGGTGCCCAAGCACTTTGCACACTGAAATATGTATTACTTAATTAGAAATTATTTTCCTTTTATTTCTCCTTTTTATTAAGTCATTTTACTGATTTTTTTCCCTGTTAGGTATATAGGTAGGCGATATATATATGTTTTATATATATTTTATATCTCAAGATAATAAATTCATTTAATGTTTGTTATAAAAAAGGGGCAGCGGGACTGATAGAGCTGAGGACCACAGTGTGGCCCCAGAGAAATATAATCCCTGCCCAGCCAAGATAACTATAATAGCCGGGATTTACTGAGTGTCACTCGTGTGCACTGAGTCAATGTTCCCAGGAGCTGCTGTTATTATCCCCACTTTACACATAAGAGAACTAGGTTCTGAGACTGAAATGGCTCTGCCAAGGTGGGTCAGGGGCAGAGTCAGAGTCACTACAGGCAGCCCAGCGCCAAAGCCCGTGAGAAAAGCCTGGGCTGGGCTGGCTGGGAAAAGACCAGAGCACAGACAAACAGCAGCCTGTGTGCCAACCAGAGGTCCCCCACATAGTGTTTCTAACATGTCTGAACTAGAGGCCAACAGTTAATGCTCAGGAGACATTACATCAAAGTTTCTGGCTTCACTTGAAAAATCAGAGCATCTGACCACAGTGGACTCACATTCCTACATAGCAACTGAGGCAGACGGTTGGCAAAAATGGCTGCAGTTATTCCACTCTCTGCATCCGCATCGTTTAAATATGACTTTGAAGCTCCTCCCATCAAGAAGTGGGGTCTATTTCTCCACCCCCTGGGTCTGGCACAGCATGCCAATTCCCAGCCGAGACCTCCAAAGGCCTTGTCCTCCCTCTCCCCCAACTTTCTTTCCATGTGTCTGTCTCTCTCCTCTTAGAACCCTGTGACCACCGTGTGAACAAGTCTGGGCTAGCCTGCAGGACAATGAGCGACTGTGTGGCCAGAGCTGAGTCAGCTCATGTGTCCCAGATACATGAGAGAGTCCAGCCAAGGTCAGCAAGGCTGACCTGCAGCTCATCGCAGACATGTGAGCGTGCTCAGCCAGGACTAGAAGAATCATTTACTGAGCCCGGCTAAATTGCTCACATGCAGAAGTGTGAGCTAAATAAATGTTTGCTTTAAGCCATTATGTTTTGGGGTGGCTTGTTATATGGCAAAAGCTACTTGATGTAGCAGTAATCAGCTCAGGCTGGGCTGCAGCTACACTCTATTCAGAGTCTGTTGGCTCTGGTTTGCGACAGTCTCCACTACTCCCTTTTGTCCCACATCTGGCATTTTCCTTCCTTCATTTCAGTTATCTGCCTCACTTCTGTAGAAATGTATTCAATGATCCTTGCAAAAGCCTAAGTTTGTAAGACCCACAAAGGGATGAATCAAAGGGGAAAATGAATGTGATTTTTCTGGAGACAGGGAGGGGCTAGGACATAGGTACTTGAAAAAGAGGCTTCAGGGGCTGGCCTGGTGGCATAGTGGTTAAGTTTGCGTGCTCTGCTTTGGCAGCCTGGGGTTTGCCAATTCAGATCCTGGGCACGGACCTATACACTGCTCATCAAGCCATGCTGTGGTGGCATCTCACACAGAGGAACTAGAAGGACTTACAACTAGGTTATACAACTATGTACTGGGGCTTTAGGGAGGAAAAAAAAGAAAGAGGAAGATTGGCAATAGATGTTAGCTCAGGGCCAATCTTCCCTACCAAAAAAAAAGCAGGGGGCTGGCCCCATGGCCAAGTGGTTAAGTTCGTGTACTCTGCTTTGGCAGCCCAGGGTTTCGCCGGTTCAGATCCTGGGCACAGACCTAGCACCACTCATCAAGCCACACTGAAGCGGAGTCCCACATAGCAGAACTGGAAGGATCTACAACTACAACATACAGCTATCTACTGGGGGCCTTTGGAGAGGAGGGAAAAAAAAGAAGATTGGCAACAGATGTTAGTTCAGGTGCCAATCTTAAAAAAAAAAAAAAGGTGGCTCCAGGGGGTTAGGGGTGAGGATAAGATAATGGAGAGGAGGGGAAGTATTAGGAGGCTCCATGCGAGATAACGTCACTTCAAGGACTGAAATCTACACCGTCTTTCTCTCGGGTGTAAAGGGAATGTATGAGTGAGATAAAATAATCACAATAATAACCTCTGTTCCTCCTACACTATTCTGATTTCCAGAAAACGACCTTCACCTATCTTCACTTGGTGAGCTTGTCCTGGGAAGATATAAGCCTTTTTAAAACAGAAAAGAGGGGCTGGCCCGGTGGTGCAGCAGTTAACTTCGCGCCTTCCCCTTCAGTGGCCCAGAGTTTGCTGGTTCAGATTCCAGGAACGGACATATGCACCACTTGGCAAGCCATACTGTGGCAGGCGTCCCACATATAAAGTAGAGGAAGATGGGCACAGATGTTAGCTCAGGGCCAGTCTTCCTTAGCAAAAAAGAGAGGAGGATTGGTGGCAAATGTTAGCTCAGGGCTAATCTTCATCAAAAAAAAAAAAAAAATAGAAAAGAAGTGGAACAATTCACAGGAAAGGAAACACAGATGACTCTTAAATACATAAAAAGACGGTCAATTTTAATTGTAAGAAGATAAATGCAAAATGAAACCATACTGGACACCATTTTTCACCTATCTCAGTAGCCAATCTCTAAAGTTTAATAACACTCTGCTGGGGAGGCCATGGGCAAACTGACATCCTCGTGTGTTGCTCGTGCGACTGTAAATTGGCAGAGCCCTTAGAGAGGAAAATTTTGCACTATTTATCAAAATTATCAATACACACTTCCTCTGACCTAGCAATTCCACATCTGGAAATTTACCTAACAGATACATTTGCACCTGAGTAAAATGACATATGTTCATGAATAATAACTGTAGCACTGTCATAATATCAAAAGAATAGACACAGACCAAATGTCCATTAATAGAGTCCAGTTAAATAAACTGTGAAACAGTCACATAGTGGAAGAATATGCAGCTATTGAAAGGATCATGCACTTATGTATTGTGATGGGAAGATCTCCAGGATACATTGAAAGTGAAAAAAAAAAAAAAAACTTTCATTAAAAATTTTGGAAAGTAAGAGTATATATTTATATTTGCTTGTATATGCACAAAGGAACTGTGCAAAGATCCATAAGTAATTTTAAATGGTTACCTTACCTTTGGGGGTGGGAAGAGCATTCGGGTAGATGAAGGGACAGGGTTGGGAAGATGTTTTACTGTATAAATTTGGATCTTTTAAAGCTTTTGAACCATGTAACTATGCTACCCACTTAAAATTATAATTTAAAACATTTTGCTCTCTACATATCTCTTCCTGAAACTTCGACCCACTGGTGCCAGCTCTGGGCTGTGATGCCACCCAGGGCAGTTCTGATGCTGTTCTGTGGGGCAGGACTTCAGCCATCTGGAGAAGGCCTCCCCAGGTGACAGACACCTGCGTCCCACCACCGAAGCTTCCAGCATGTGGTTCCCACCACCTCACCACCCTTCCTACGGTAGTCAAGAGTGCTGTTCACCAAACATTTCTGCTCTTCCACCTCTGGACACAGGGCAGGAGAGCACGCCCTGGCCTCCTGGTAGTTGGACGAAGCCATGTGATGAGATCTGGCCAATGAATTATGAGAAGCGATGGATATCATTTCTGGACTGGAGTGTTTGATTACCAGTGTTAGACCCTCCAGAACGTTTTCCCTTTGCTACCATTACTGGCAACATTCCAGATGTAGCTGCTGTTGGCATGGGTCCCAGAGTGAGGATGCTGCAAAGAGCCCAAGTCAACCCACAATGGAGCTCAAGGAAGGTACAAATGTTTGTTGTTTGAAGCCACCAAGACTTAGGAATTGTCTGTCTCTGTAGCATAGCCTAGCCTATCCTCACTGAGACACTCCTGATGCAGCATGAGCAGCACCAAGTGGGGGTGAAATGGTAATGGCCCCTGACCTCGGGGTCAATGGCAACAAGAGCGAGTGCTCACAGGTCACGCTACTCACACCACTGCCTCAATGATGCCCTGGATCTCCCGCTGCAGCTCTGGCTCCTTCCGGTAAGTGTCCACCAGCAGCAAGGCCTGGTCGTAGCTGGCACAGTAGACCTTATAGACTTGCTCCAACTCCTCTTGGAATTCCAGGAATAAGTTACCTGACAGTGAGAAAGCAACAAGGCATTCTCAAAGGCATGTCTGTATGTCCCCTTGTTGGGGACAGGGAGGCGGTGGGGGAGACAGCTAAGCGCTCCAGCTCCACGGTGAGACGGCCAGGCAAGTTACCTCATTGTCCTGAGTTTCCGCTTTTCATCTCACTTTCAAAATGCTGCTATAAGAATTAAGTGAGAGGGTGATGGACAGCTCAGACTGGCACACTGTGAGTACTTAATAAACGGTAGCTATAATTACGACAATAATATTGATAGTTCTCATACTTGTACGGTGTTTTACAGTTTACAAAACACACTCACGTTCTATCTTTACAATTACTGTGAGTGGCAGGTACAACTCCCAACCCCGGGTTTACAAGGACACGCTCTAGCACGGCACAGGCAGTCACAGCACGCTTTGGAGTCAGAGAGACTGAAGGCCAGACCTCCTGCCAAGCTTTCCCAGTCGTGTAACCTGGGGCAAGCACGTGACCCCTCAGACTCTCCATTTCTCCACCTGCAGGTTGGAATAAAAGCCGTACTCGCTTCCACGTGTTTTTTGTGAGGGTTAAATAAATAATGCATCTAAAGGATCTGACACAAACTTCCTTCACCAAATATTGACTAGCTGCTTATTTACTGACCATGTGCCGGGCACTCTTGCAAGCTCTGTGAACAAAACAAAGCCCCTGCCTCTTGGGGCTTCTATTCGAGCAGGGAGGACAGACAATAAATAAATTGATAACATATGCCAGGTAGTGATGAGTACCATGAATCAAGACAAAGTCAGAAAAAGAGTGAGAGAGCAGCAGGAGACCTCCGGAGGGAGGGCCTCCATGAAGATGTGAACATTTATCAGAGACCAGAAGGACCCGTCCTGGGAATGTTGGGGGAAGAACAGCACCAGACTGAGGGAGGGACAAAGCAAAGGGCATAAGGCTGGTGAGCAGTGGACATGAGGACAACACTAGGAAGGCAGGTGTGGCTGGAGCAGAGTGTGCGAGGGCACAAAGTAGGGAAAATAAATAGGAGACTGAAGCCAGATGATGGAGGGCCTCGAAGTAAGAGAGGTGGAGTAAGGTGTCTGGATTTTATTCTTCTGGTGGCAGCAAGCAACTGGAGGGTTTTGAGCAGGGGTGACATGATCTGGCTTCCTTTTTAAAAGGATCACTCCAGCTTAATTTCAGCAGCACATATACTAAAATTAGAACAATATAGAGGATTAGCATGGCCTCCGCACAAGAATGACATGCAAATTCATGAATCATTCCATATTTTAAAATCAGAAACTTATAAGATTGGTTACTTGTAGGGGAAATGAAACAGGTAGAAAGAAGGAGAGAATGGGATGGGGTAGCAGGGATGAGAGGGGAGCAATGCTCCGCTGACTAGACCTTTCTGTACAGCTCTGACTCTTGGACCCGTGCTCATGTTTCACATATACAACTCAGACCCACCAGGATGTGCAGGGGGAACCCCAGACGGGATACAAACAATAAGGCATGAACCTCATTCTACTACAAATGAGTAACATAACCGCACTGAAGGGTATGGGGAGGAAATTAACGTAAATAACTGTTTTTCACAAGGGTACAGGTAATTCTGAAACTACCTTATGTGTATACTAACTCTGAATAAATAAATAAATATATTGTAGATGACCGCCATTTCTCCCTGTCAGAGAAAGACGTTAAATAAGAAAAGGGGGAAGACTAGAACGAACCCTGTGACTCTGGACTGGCATTGGAGGTATCATGAACCCATGGCTTTATATATATAAATACAGATGGACAGATATAGAAAGAAATGTAGATGTGTGCAGATGCACGTATTAGCAGATATACATATATTTGCCAGCTCTGTCAGCTGACAGGGCCTAGGAGCAATGACACTTCAGGAACCATGAGCAAACGTGGAGCCTAGAACTTGATGTCTAAACATCATTTTCCAAAGACAGGAACCAGGGCCCCCAGGAGAAATGGCTGATTCCAAGGATGGTGCAGGGAATATACAAGATGAGCCTGGAACATCTTGTCAGAAAGTCAGGAAGTGCTTAAAAATTGTTGGAGGCACATTGAAAGGACACAGGAGCCAACGTGAAGGGGCTTCCAGTGGCCAAAGTTGGTAAAATTTGAGCAAGAAAATGAATAATGATAGCACTGACTCACTGAATAAAGTAAATATCCATGAGTTCACACTGATATAAATAAATAATTGAATAAAAAAAGAATGGGGGAGAAGAGACAGTTCTTGCTTATAGAAGAATTGCAATTAATAAGTATAGAAGGAATAAGGGAAATAGAAAATTACCATTAGAACACCAGTAATAATTATTGTAAGCAAGATCCATTGATGGATGCTAAAATTAACGGATGAAAGTTTGAGAAGAAACAGAACATGTGCATAATATCAAAGTTTCTCTTCATAAGATATTTATTAACTACAAAGAGAAAAAATAGTAACTTTATAGTGGAAAACGTAGAAGATAGCACCTTCTATCAGCTATGCTATCAGAGTTAACATCATTCTAAGTAATAAAATACAGTGACATGAGGTGCCCCTGCTGTGACACACGCGGAAGGACGGGACATTGATTATGACATTCTTGCCAAAAATGTATAACCTCAGTTTAATCATGAAAATAAGTTTAATTTTATAAATCATATAAAATGTTATAAAATATAAAAATTTGATTATAATACAAGTTTATGAAATGTTTCATATACGTCATGTGTTATTTAACAACGAGGATACATTCTGAGAAATGCGTTGTTAGGCGATTTTGTTGTGCGAGCGTCACAAAGTGCACTTACACAATCTACTGCACACCTAGGATACATGGTCCTAATCTTACGGGACCACCGTCATACGTGCGGTCCCTCCTTGACCAAAACGTCATCATGTGACACACGACTGTATAAACTTTTATAAAATAATTTTAACTTTATAATTGAAAACCCCAAATTGAGGGATATTCTACAAACTTGAAGTCTTCAGAAGTGTCATAGTCACTAAAGACAGACTGAAGAACTGTCACAGACTGAAGACGACTATGGGAACATGACAATAAAATGAAATGTGGTATCCTAGATTGGGGCCAGGACCAGGAAAAGGATATTAATAGGAAAACTGGCAAAATTTGAATAAGTTGCACTGATGTTAACAGCCGGTGTCGATAATTGTACTATGGATACGTAAGGTGTTAAAAATTAGGGAAGCTGGATGAAGGGTATATAGAAGCTCTCTGTGTTATTTTTGCAATTTTTCTGTAAGTCTAAAATTATTTCAAGATAAAAAGCTTAAAAAGAACCTTGAAGACATTAAGCTATGTGAAATAAGCCAGATACAAAAGGATAAATATAAGGACTCCACTTATGTGAAGTACACAGAGTGGTCCAAGTGATAGCGACAGAAAGTAGAACGGTGGTCCCCAAGGGCTGGTTATCATTTGGTGGGTACAGAGTCTCAGGTTAAGAGGATGAGGAGTTCTGGAGATGAATAGTCTGATGGTGGCACAACAATGTGAACGTACTTAATGCCACTGAACTGTACACTTAAAAATGGTTAAAATTGTAAATTTTCTATAGTATGCATATTACACCACAACAAACAAATTTTAAAAAGAGATTTTTAAAAACCCTGCACCCTAAGGTTATAGGAGCTTTATTCATAATTACCAAAACTTGGAAGCAACCAAGAAGTCCTTCAGCAGGTGAATGGATAAATAAACTGTCCTATATCCATACAGTGGAATATTATTCGGTGATCAAAAAAAAATGGAAATGAGATGTCAAGCCAGGAAAAGACATGGAGAAACCTTAATTGCATATTACTAGACAAAAAGCCACTCTGAAAAGGCTACATACTGTATGATTCCAGCAACATGACATTCTGGAAAAGGCAAAACTATGGAGACAGTAAAAAGATGAGTGGTTTCCAGGGGTTGAGGGGCGGGGTGTAAACAGGCAGAGCATAGAGGGTTTTGAGAGCAGGGAAACTACATTCATCCATGTCTTGGATATAGGACATGCCATGTTTCAGTCTGTTCCCAAAAACAGACTCCCAGTGAGCGGTGTTTCCTTGGAACTCTGTAGACAGTTCGGCAATGACCACATGCTGAGGACAATTAATTCCACGGGAATCTAAGGTGGACAACTGCCTCATCTTGTGCTTACCAATTAGCTGCACTTGATCCTCTTCCCTGGAGGCTGTCTCCTGCAGACCATGAAGAAATCTGCTGTTCACCTTGACGATATCATCAATGTTTGAGAACAGGACATCCAGATCTCCCTGCGGCAGCTGGAGGGAACAGAGAAGCCATGGGAGGTCGCTGGGAGTTCGGCAGAGTGACTTTATTTGCAGGCTTTGGAGAGTCGTCTAGAACACTCACACCCTCAGGGTCCCATCACTCTTGGGAAGACTGTCCCTGTGGAATGTTTGCAAGGACTGTGAAATTTTATTAATTAGGTATTTTCATTTCTCTACAAGAACAGAGGAAGAGATGGAGCACTCAGCATGAAAGGAAGGCTGAACTGGGGTTTTATCCCAGGTCTGCTGGCAGCTGTCATTTTTCTTCTCTCAGTTTCCCCATCTGTCATATAAGGATGGGAAGTTGCACTTCTTTCCAGCTCTGACACACTTGGCACCTACCACCATTACTTTGAGATATAGTCTGAACTCCAGTCTCTATTAACCAAGCTATATCACTGTTAAAAAGGATGCAGGATATCCACATATGTGCATGGGCATAAGGGATATATACAGAGAAAGATGTACTAGATACAGGATCAAGTAGGAAAAGCTAACTGTAGAAAAATATATGGAGTATGCTCTTATTTTGTTAAAATAAGTAACAACCTATATTTGTTTGTTCTGTGCCTACAGAGAAATCCTAATTTCTTTTGTTTTTTTAAAGATTTTATTTTTTCCTTTTTCTCCCCAAAGCCCCCTGGTACATAGTTGTATATTCTTTGTTGTGGGTCCTCCTAGTCGTGGCATGTGGGACGCTGCCTCAGCGTGGCTTGATGAGCAGTGCCATGTCCGTGCCCAGGATTCGAACCAACGAAACACTGGGCCGCCTGCAGCGGAGCGCGCGAACTTAACCACTTGGCCACAGGGCCAGCCCCGAAATCCTAATTTCTAAAGAGCAAAATATGAGAGGACTTTTACCTCCTATGTTATGTAGTTAAGTATGTCATTAATTCAAGAAACATTAGTTAAGTCAACTATTTACCTGTCAAGAACTGCGAAATATTGAACTAAGTAGTCTTTACCCTTATGGAGCTTACATGCTAGGGGATGCTTGAAATTTTATAGAGAGAGCCTATATTATTTCTGAAATCAGGGGGGAAAAAGATATAAAAAAGGAACCCTAAAATAGAAACCCATCATAGTGATAACTTCTCCATGTCATCACCCCCCAAAGGAGACAATCAGAATGTAGGTCAGTTTAAGCAATCTGTTCTAAACTTGATAAAGGGCTCCTTTACCCATTAGCTCATTTAATACTCTGAGGTGATTATTCCTCTCCCCATTTAGCAGATGAGTTTACTAAGAGTCCAAGGCCTTGCTGAAGGTTGCATGGACAATAGATGGAAATAGTGGGGCTGACATCCAGAAGATTTCACATCCATCATGCCTTCCCCTCCATCAAGCCTGCCCCAGGAACAGACATGAAGTCTTGAGAGCAGAACTCACGTTTGTCCCTATAAATATAGGCTGTGTGTGGCCCCACGCAAGTACCTGCTGCAGGCGGCCCCTGATGTCCGAGGCACAGAGCTGGAGCATGTGCAGATAGGAGACCTCCGTGTCGATGAGTTCCCTGATGGCCAGCCTCTGATGGAGCAACGATCTGTCCTCAGACACCCGGCCTTCCCCATCCGGACTCTCTGTCCTGGGGGACGGTTCATCAGCCCCGGGATCGGCCATGTCAGCAGGTTCTGGGGAAGGCAAACACATCCCAACTCACTTCCGGGAGCTCTACCAGAACACGCTATCTCTAATCCAAAGACAACTATTCATCAAGCTGCCTAAGAACATCTTTAGCTGCATGCAGAGTTGAGATGAACTGTGTATTAGCTTTTGTGGGCAGTATCTGGACCATCGTAAAAGGCAGAACACAGCTCAGATAATTGGTGCCATTTAAAATTCATTTCCCAGGATTCAGACAATGTGCTTGCCTAGCTTTTCTTCTGTTTCGTCCCCCAGCTCTTGACCCAGATTTCTTTATCTAGTTCGGCTGAGTCCCTCTCCCTCTCTCTCCCCCAGTGGTTCCCTCCTCTCCACCCCACTACCCCATTCAGGCCGTGTGCAACCTATCACCTGGTCTCCAGGATCATCTTTCCAAATCCAAACCCCTCTCCCACTGCTGCCACCCACGCCCTTTCATCCTGGACACGCTTCCAGTTTAAACTTCCTGAAACAAAGCTTGGGATCACGGTATTCCCCGCTGTGAGACTTTGATAGCTCCCTGCTGCTCCGTGGTCCAGCTCCAACCCCATTTTCCCTTTCTCAGATACACTCCAGTGAAAGAGAGTTATGTGCTTTTCTGCATACCTGCATGGTCACTTCCTGCCTCTGTACTTTTGCTCCTGCTGTGCCCTCTCCCTTGTCTCTAAACTCTGGCATTCATCTTCTCTAAGGCCTTTCCTGACCCTCCCAGCCAGAGGTACTTTTCACCTTTATCTCTAAGTTTAAAAAGTACCAATAGCAGTACTGCGGACAGATGGCCTGAAAAGCTGCCTCCTACAAAACACCTGGAAATGCTGGCTCAGCTATAACACACTTTCATTTCACTGCAAGGCAGCACTTGCAAGAGAGTAACGAGAATCAGCAGGCAGGGCTCCCAAACAGAGGGAACTGCAAACCAGAGCAGGAGCAGCTGAGCTGACACAGCCGTGGCCAAAGCGGACAGGGTGGGCTGGAAGAGGGCATTGCTGTGCTCAGTGAAACACGGACAGGGGCATCAGTGCCCAGGCAGGAACAGGAGACGAGCTCCTTCACAGAAGTGGGACCTCAAGACTTAAGCGAAATGGCGATTCAGAAAAAAATGTCCCCCTACCCACACAGAAGATGACAAAGATGTTTCTCCATCTTGGCTTGGGTCCTGGGGGAGGAAAAAGACTCCTCTGAAAATTCATAACAATAGGCCTGTTTTCTCTGAGTTTTAGGTTCAAACTGATACTACACATTTGGTCCAAGTAGCCCCAAACTGAGAAATTAACAAAAAAGTTCTGGACTAATGCTACTCTGAGGGGCCACAGGACAAATAAAATGTCTCCAAAGGGACATATCCTTAACCTAGGCTACATGGTACGCTAACAGATAATCTTGTCCTGAAGATGAGTTTAAAATCCAAAATTACACGAACTCTACTGTGAGCGAGCATTATCAGAAACAACAAAGAGCAGGATTAGACCCCAAGAACATCAGATAATCAAACGATCAGACAGAGACTATAAAGCAAGAAAAGAAAAAACACTATAAAAAGAAATAATGACCTATTTGATTTTTTAAAAGCACCAAATAGAACTTACAGAAATTAAAAATTTAGTCTTTGAAATTAAAAACCGAATGGACAGATTAAACAGACATTTAGGAAAGAAAAATAGTAAAGGGACAGATAGATCCAAAGAAATTATCCGGACTACTAAAAAGAAAGAAAAGCATGGAAAATCTGAAAGAGAATTCAAGGGATCTGAATATTGAAATAAGAAGGCCGTGTATCAAATCTGAGTTCCAGAAGGCAAGAATAAAGAGGGTGAGGGGAGGCAATATTTGAAGAGATAAGACAAAGAATTGTCAAGAATTTATAAAAGTTATAAATTCTTAGATGTAGGAAGTACAAGTCTCAAGCAGGATAAGTTAAAAAAATCCGCATCTAAACAGGATGAGGAGAAATTGCAGAACCTGGAAGGCCTAGAGAATTTACCTTGTACATTCTGTTTTTTTTTTTTTTTTTTATATAGAGGGTTTTTTTTTTTTTCAGATTTTTATTTTTTCCTGTATATTCTTGTTCTCAGGAAACTATGGGAGAATGTGCTCCATCAAAATAAAGAAATAAATCAAGCAAGAGGAAGACATGAGATACAGGGAATTGGTGATCTAATGTAGGAGCGGCACTGAGGAAATCCCCAGGATGGGATAAGGGAAATCCTAGGATTGACTATTGGCTACAGGCGGACAGCAAACAGTCTGGACGAGAGTACTTCAGAAGGCACTAGAATGTCTTGAGAACAGATTTATTGAATTGATAGAGAATATGGTGTTTCTGTAGGCATAATTACATAAATACACATGAAACTAAGAAACAAACCAACAAACAAAAACAACTGTTATAACAAAAAAATTGTGCAGAAAAGATGAAAGTAATTATATGTTACTACCTGGTTCAGTTATAAATAGAATTTACACACGTAACACAAGCGATCTAATTAATATTGTGTATAACTATATGGAGAGGATAGGGTAATAAGAAGGCTATACATATGTGGTGAAGGAGGAGTAAAAAAAATAGCTGAATCCTCATCTTTCATAGCAGAAAGTCAAAGAACAATGCCTAAACCAAAATCTCAAGAAGAAGCAGCATATGCATGCTATTTAAAGATATGGAGGTAAATACTAAAACAATCAGCTAAAATGATAGAAGGAATTGCCTGGAACGAAAGACAAGTGGACAGACTGTTTTCCATAACAAACGCTGCAGAATTATCTGTTTCTTTTCTCACAACAAGCGTAGAACTACCCATCCCTTTAAATTACATGCTTTTATGGCTTTGATGTGAACCAAAAACTAAATGTGAGAAAAAGTGAGAGCTCCTCATTTTTGCTGGAGACCAATATTCAAAAATAAATCATATTCCTATATATGTCAACAACAGTATGTACAAGTACAATTTAGAGAAAGATAGCATGATAAAAAATTTAACAAAAAATAACTACTATTTATTCCTTCCTAGATATCTTAATTTAACAAAAGATGTACAAGATCTTTAGGAAGAAAATTATAAAACTTTATTGGAATATATTCAAGAACTATTTTCATGGATAGGAAGAATCAGTATCATAAAGATGAAAATTCTCTACAAAGTTATTCAATACAATTCCAATAAAACTCCCAACAGGATTGTTGTTGTTGTTTTAGTAGAACATAATAGAATGATTCTAAAATACACAAGGAAGAGGAAGAGGGTAAGAATAGCTAAGGCAATTCTGAAGAACAATGTAGGGGGACCTGTCTTACCAGATATCTAGATCTACTAGAAAACCATAATATTTATCAGTTTGATACTGACACAGGTGCAAATAGATCAGTGGAATGGAGTAGGGAGCCCAGAAACAGACCACGGTAAACATGGGAACTTGATATATGACATAAGTGTCATTAGAAGTCACTGGGAAAAGGATGGTCCATGGGATAATTAGCTTGCCATATAGAAAAATAACCAAATACAATACCACATCACACCCCAAATAAAGTCCAGATAGATTAAAGACCTAAATCTTAAATGCGAAACTCTAAAATTCTTAGAGGAAAATATTTTTATGCTCTCCAGACGAGAAGGGTTTCTTCAACAAGACATAAAGTGTAGAAATCCCAAAAGAAAAGATTGATAAAGACTGATCAATCTGACCACAATAATACTGAAATCTTCTATTAATAAACAATTCTACAATCTAAAGGAAAAGAGGGGGCTGGCCCGGTGGCAGAGTGGTTGAGTTCGGATGCTCCACTTCAGTGGCCCAGGGTTTCGCCAGTTTGGCTTCTGGGCACAGACCTAGTACCACTCATCAAGCCATGCTGGGGCAGCATCCCACATGCCACAACTAGAAGGACCCACAACTAAAATATACAACTATGTACTGGGGGGCTTTGGGGAGAAGAAAGAAAAATTTAAATTTTTTTTTAAAAAAAGGAAAAGAGAGGCCTCAAACCAGAAGATACTTGTAATGAACGTAACCTGCAGAAGTTTAATATCTAGACCTTATAAAGAACTATGAATCATTAAAACAGGGAAATCTAAAAGAAAAATAGACAAATGATATCGTTGCAAATACAGTGTTTGGGTTCATTCAGTGTCAGTTTTAACCTCCTTCTATTAGATCTTGCTGTAATGCTGAAATTGGAGAGCTAAAACCCAGCTTCCCAGACTCCTTTGCAGCTAAGACTGCAAGACGTGCTTTCAGCCCCACCAATCAGACGGTCTCAAGAGAGCCCTGAATTTAGAACTGAGCTAAGTAGGAAGGAAGGCACGCTTGAGGCATCCATTTAATGGGGCAGGTACTGCATTGTTCTGAAGCCAACAGTTTCAGCACTCCATTGTGGCTAAAATCATGGAATCCTGAAGCCAGCAGCTGGGACAGCAGCTTCCCAATTCTCCAGTTTCCTGATTGTTCCCGAGGGTAGCAGCTCCCTCGGAGGGCCTTTCCTGTAGTATTGATTTTGGACTCATTCCTAGAGGCCCATTCTGTGACCTGCTTCTCCAGCCCTTCCACCAATTTGGTAAGTACCTAATGCCCTCTTGTAAATCCCTTTCTGGTTAAAATAGAATGATTTGTGTTATCTCCAACTAAACTCTGGCTGATACAGGTACAAACAGGTAATCCACAAAAGAAGAAATTTAAATCGCTAACACACAAATGAAAAGATGCTCGATTCACTAGTAACTAGGCAAATGTGAATAATTAAAACCACAATGAGTACCATTTCATGCCCATCAGATTGGCAAAATATAAAACTAAATTGTTGGTGAGACTGTAGAGGAATGGGAAGTCTCATATACTGATACGAATAATGTAAATTGTTGCAACCACTCTAAAGAGCAATTTGGCAATATCCAGAAACACTGAAAATGCATACACTGTCAGGTCAAGGAGTTCTACTCCTACATATATCCTGCCTTCAAGAAACTTCTCCACATATACACAAGGAATGTAGACAAGAATGTTGACTGCAGCACTGTTGATAATAACGGAAAATTAGAAAGAACCTAAATGTCCCAAGGAAAGTGGATAAGTAACGTACAGTATAGCCATTTAATGGAATTATGAACAAAAGTGAAAAGGAATAAACTATACATTCATGTATCAACATGGCCATCCTCGCAAACACTGTAAAGAGGGGGAAAAAGAAAAAAAAAGAAAACCCAAGTCCCAGAAGGGTACATACAACATGATACTATTTTTAAAAGTTTAAAATATGTAAAACAATGTTAGATACTATTTAGGGACATACATATGTAGCATAGGTATTAAAATTTTTGTGGAGATGATTGGCAATAAATTCAGGATAATGGTAAACTCTGGAGAGGGAGGCAGAGGAAGGGAACTGGGGAGAGTATCAAAGGGGACTTAATGGCATCTGAGGGGGTTTTTAGTTAAACTTTTAATTTTGAGATATAGATTCACATGCAGTTGTAAGAAATAATAGAGGTTCCATGTACCCTTTACCCAATTTCCCCAATGGTAACATCAGGCAAAACCAAAGTACAATATTACAACCCGGATACTGACATTGATACAGACAAGGCACAGAATGGTTCCATCAGGAAGATCCCTCGTGTTGCCTTTTCACCCGCTTGGCTCCAGCCCCATCCCATCCTTAATCCCTGGCAACCAGGAATCTGTTCTCCATTTCTATAATCTTGTCAGTTCAAGAATGTGTGTAAATCATACAGTTTGTGACCTTTTGGGATTGACTGTATTCTATCAGCATAATTCCCTGGAGATTTATATAAATTGTTGCATGTATCAATAATTCCTTCGTTTTCACTGCTGAGTATCTGAGATGTTTTATTTGTTTAAAAAAAACCCAAAGCAAATACGGGAACAATGTTAAAATTAAACAAAGCTAGATGGTAAGAACATGGGAATTTGTTTTATTGTTCTTTGTTCTTTTCTGGATGGTTAAAACATTTCCTAATATTTAAAGTGGCACACATCCCATTCAACCTTGTACTCCGGTTATTTAGGGCTATGCCTCATCTCCATGGCTAAATGTTAAGCTCTTAGAGAACAGATGAGCACCCGTTCATCTTGTGTCCTCCTCTGCACCTCACAATACTGGTGATTAATACATTTTTGCAAACATAAATGGTCTATTTGAAT